CCATAGAGAATGTAAGTATTTTCAAGGAAGGTGACATGATCCCGTCGGAATCAGTAAGCAATGCTAAAAAGTCATCTAGTCGCCGGTAGTGCTTTCTATCAAGTAATTGTCTAGAAAGCAATGACTCCTCAAACGAGCTAACAAGAGATTGTCTAAAAACCAGCAAAGTTACGCCTATAATACTCTTGATCTCAACAATTGATGGAGCAGGTGTTGCCTCAAAATTTCAACTTGATCCATTGTAAGTAACTTCTTTTGGAGGGGTGTTTCAACTATATATACATTCATCTCAAAGTTACTCTTTTTGCAGGTGTTCGATTTTATTATTCTCATTTTCTTCGTCATATCCGATCTCCTTCAATATTGTTGGCCTTGAAGGAGATATCAACTAGTTATTCTAATACCTTCTGTGTACCTGCTCATCTCCTATCGAGGATAAACATAGAGGATTAATAGGAGATAGGAACAAACTTGATGATAGGTCCGAGCAAGTTGAGAATTACCACTTCAACTTGCAATCCAACATTCCATGCTTGTGCTACTACCGAGTTCCCTCACTTGTCCGCTCAAAAGACAAAGCACCTAGAATTTTAAACCTCATATCCAGTTCTCTTGGGTCTGTGGACCTGTAGAATGAACGTCTCACTTCTCGGCTAGTCCAATTTGCACACCTAGTCGCGCCTTGACAATTAACTTTGTTTGTTAGCGCGCCTCACAATTTACTCGCATGAGCTCGATTCCCCATGCCGCCTGCCTTGAATTCGCTTCAAGGAAAAAAATTGTCACTTGAATTTGCGTTATTGTCAACATACCGTCAAATTTCTTTCACTGTCATAATTTTTATCACAATTCAATTAGTTTAGTAATCTCTCGCAAATAAAATTCATTATCACAAACCATTGCTCTAAACCATTTATTAATTCAAGACACGCAAGATAAGCACAGATAGTTGACCATCTCATCTAAAGTAAACAGAAAATGACAAACACAAAAAGGCATAGTAGATAATGTGATAAAATCATGTGCATGATTACATCCACACCAAATACATGAGAGAAAGTAGATTGATAACAATGAAAACTCTTGAACCGTCTAAAGTCACAGGAAGTAAGTACTCCCAGTTTTGACAATCGAGCGAGCGATACTAACTAAATATAGCTAGGATTGGAATTAACTTCTTAACATGAGTTATACTCAATATATAGACCATCTTTGAGCAAGTTGTACTACTCTTAGTCAAACTTTTGAGCTTTTGATCTTCATGCGGTTGTAATTTTTGATATAAACCCTCTTGACATATTTTCAACATACCATCGTCTTTTTCTTTTCGAAAAAACCAACAACAAAAAATATGTGATTTGCTGCTTCTAACTATGTTCATGAAAACAACAAGTAATTTATTGAAAAAATTTATAATTATTCAAGTCAAGTTGTGTTAGACTTCCCTATATACATTTGATAGCTAAAATTTTAGATACAATTTCAACTAAAATAACTCTAATTTTAACTCTAATTTGAGTTATGGTCAAATAAATCTAATCCGAGACTTCGATTAATATTTAAAATGTCAGCAAACATTTTGCAAGTTCTTTTCTATATTGACAGCCTAACGTAAATTTCAACTTGAATTGAACTAACATTAATTACAAATAGATATGAATTGATTTTATGAAAATATTCCATAACTCATGTTAAAAGTATCTTAATCTTCATAAATTATGGAATTACTCTACAAAAAGTTGAAAAAAAATAATCATACATGTTCACTCTTTAGACCAAAGCTAAACCAAATCAAACCCAAATATGATTGTAGTGTATATATCTTTCCAAATCGTTAATAAAATCTACTTCTCATGCAAAACTTTCAAAGTAGCATGATGTGTACTAAAACTATTTTTTTAAACAATCTTGATTATTGCAAAATCTAGTTTAATGTTCGTCTTGACTAGCTTGATCTTTTTATCAAAACTGCATCTATGATAAAATGATATCTTATATTGATGTGTTTCACTATGTTTTTCATCACTTGATTTGAAGCAAAATCTAATGAGCTTTGACTTTCAAAATAAAATTTTTAATTTTTAGTCACAATCTTTATTCAATCAAATAGCTTCTTATTATGCTTTTGCTTTCTTTATAGATTCAGCTTTTGTCCAGACGGATCTACATACCTCTACAAAATAAATCTCCAATCAATGCATCCACCACTAAGTTCACACTTAACTAATTGTAAATTTCCTCTTGTCCATGATTAGCGTCAACATATCTTATAAAGGATTTAGCATTCTTTAATAAACCATCCAATATATTATCAAAGTACTTAATACTTTTGAATATATAAAAGTCCATTTAATGGTTTCTTAATGCAGCTTTTGTGGAATAAACATGGACCTATTTACCTTAGTCATAGTTAAACCAATATAAGATTGTATGATATGTGACAATGATTAATCTATCAAATACTACAATGGTTAGTTTCACTCATTTGAGTAGATCATATGTTTTTTTGAGCTCAATCATACAACACATAACAACAATATAACACTCACTAAATACTCAAAGTACATAAAGTTTGAGATATTTCTCTGGATGAATCATCATTCAAGAACTAAATCTAAAGGTTTTTAGCATCTGAATTCTATTTTAAAGAAATTTTACAATGGTTCTTAATTTTTTCAAAGTTATGTAGATATAAAAATGGTAGAATTTAAAAAAAAAGCAGCTCTTTTATTTGTTTGATCTCTTGCATTCAACAGAAATTGCATGTATACATACATATATTTATCTTCAGAATAACAATGGTATTAAAAAAATTCATTTGTGTTATTGTATTTTTGGTGGCATGCTCTCTAACACAAGAAATTTTTCCTTAAAAAATTTATTTTGACATCATGATGAAGCTTTGAATGTTTTGAGAGTTCATTTTGAATAAAAAGCTTTCAAAAATGATAAATGATCATGCTTCTTAACTTTTTTGATTTGTGAAGATATTTTAACGCTTGAAAATTACAGCACAACATTTTTTTCCGTGTATATTTATTACAGGTTGCATCATTTATTATGCTTGTTTTCTTATCATATTTCTTATACATACTCATACTAAAATTTTTTATCCATCTTCAAACTTTTTACCAGCAATCAATTTTGATGTATATATTTAGATTAAGTATACACATATTACTTGCCCTTGCTTTATTATTCAAAAAATGTATATATTGAGATCAAATTGTGTTTTCAAAACATAGTAAAGCCTATTCAGATTGACGTGATTAAACAAAAAGTCAGTGTATTCACAATTAATCATTTTTACAAAAATTTGAAAAACAATGTATGCAATAAAAAATCAAATACAATCAATTTACAAATCATCAACCAAACAAATTCAAAATCATTGCTACAACATTGATAAAAAAAAATAACTGCATATTATTCAAAAATTTGCAACAAATCACAAGCATATAAAATTAATGACAAAATTAATTTATTATAATTGGAATAAACATGAATTTATTTTCTGTAATTTTTTTTTGCATATTATAAAGAGATGATAAAAATCATCATTTTTTTGTGTTTGGATTCATAAGAGACAGCTTATATAGAGCATAATAAAAATTCAGAAGTTAAAGAAAGTGAATAAAATTCAAAAAAAGCATTGAAAAGTTAAAATGATGATAAAACTGTAAATCTTCTTACATATAAAACAGATTGTATGATTAAAGATAAATTATAACAACAAGGAGATGTGTACCATGTTTAGATCAAAATTTATCGTTGAATCTCACTCTCCCAATTGCTTACAGACACTTCTACTACGCACACTGCTATGATATCCGATTGTTGTCATACAGTACAGAATACATTATTTACATAGAGTTGACACAAATTATTCATGATTCTCCTCTATGAGATTACAAATATAGCTATATTGAAACTCTTAATTTTTGTCTTGAGAGCTACAACCAACTCTGTTGTATCTTAAAGTCTAACTCTTGTTCAACAAACTATAGTTAACAAGATCTGAGTTAATTTCTAGCATATGAATAATTTGGTTGAGATTTTTTTTGTTTACTTGGATTTGATAATATTTCATAACACAAGTTAGGGTTTCTTATTTAGACATAGATTCAATATGAGAAATCTCAACTCATAATCTTAAAATATTCTATGAAACTTGGAAACAAAAAAAGTACTTTGCAATCAATATGAATAATTGCGATACTTCATGTCAGTATTCAGAAGTCATTAATTAGGTTCTATGAAATCATGTGCTTATAACCAAGGAGACTACTACGGATTTGTACTCCAAAAATCATTTAGCAAATAATGTTGTTAAAGTGACTAATGTTATTTTTATTCTCATTTCAAATATACTTTGAGGTTTGATAAACACAATTTTTGTCTATTGAAATTATGTCTTTTTGAGATTTTACTTTTGTCTTGTCATCTTTTAATCCACGCGACCTATAAAACGGTCGACATTAAACTCGTTGGATATCATTTTACAGTTCCGATTCTGAATATTGGAGAAAAAGGTACACGCAATTAGAGATATATGAAGATTCCGATCTAGCTTGGAGATATGAGAACACTCTAAGGAAATACAACCGTTCAGACGGTGAAGATGTTGAGCTTTCCATGTGACATACTATATGTATATTCAGCTTACGAGTACTTAAACATGAACAAGGCGTATTTAGAATTGGTACTCCTTGGACAAAGAAAATAACATATTAAGTACACTCTAGCAATAGCGCACGTAAAATTCGTAGTTCAGGATGCAAAATGCAAATCGATAGATTCTTTACCTCGGTACGGGACTGTGAAGTCCGTGTAATTTACCGCAGCGCTGGACACAGTTTCCTCTCCGCAGGAACTGAACTTCGTTCGTTCGTGCTGATGGATGAAGTCAGAAGCAGCGGACGCAGTCGAGGCCGTGGTGGACCGGTGACGACCCGGAGGCAAAACAGTGGAAAAAAGCCACGGCAGGAAGGGAGAGAAGGCAGAACGAGAAGGGAAGGCCAGGGAAGGTCAGGGACGGCCAGAAACAGAAGGGACGAGGGCATTGCATTGCACGGGTTGGCAATCGGCAGGAGCGAAGGAGCGAGCGAGCGAGCTTGCATTTGTGGCAGCAGGAGATCGAGTGAGGAGGTGCGCGAGTTGGCAGGCACAATGACGGAAGTTACGATCAGAAACCAAAGGGGCATGACCTCCGTCAAGGAGATGCCCATCTTGCAGGATGGTCCTCCTCCCGGCGGATTTCCTGCTGTGCGCTATGCTCGTCGGATCCCCAACTCGGGGCCGGGCGGAGCTGCCGTATTCCTCGTTTCTTCCCTCGTTATTGGTTTCGGATTTTACCAAGTTGGTCAGGGGAACATTCATCGGCGGTATGATGCCCTCCTGCTCTCTCCCTTTCCTTTTTTCCGCGGTCCCTTTTCCGATTCCGTTCACGATCAATTGTTCGGACTGATTGGCTGATCGCTTCAATAATTTGATCAATGTGAGATCTAGCTGCATGTAAGTACTCGTCACGCCCTTTGAAGTTCAGGGAGAAGTCCGTGACCTTCAGGTTGAGATTGCGTTGGCCTGAACGAGTCCGACAGAAATCTTTGGTTGGACAAGCTTTCCGGAAACGATGAGCATGTAGGGGATGTGGATTAGTGTAGAGGAAATTGAGACTGATTTCATATGCCCCAAAATTAGCTCATGTCGCCATGTACTAATGAATTTTGAGCCTGTTTATCGGTACTCCTGTATTATGGAAAAAGTAAGATGCTCTTGCAGGGAAAAAATTGACCGAAGGTACCCTCGGCATTTATTGCACACCAACAAATAGTGTGTTTCTTAAAATCTAGCCTTCGGGGATCTTCTGATTTCGTACTGGATCAGTTTGAACAGTTGTAACTCTGCCTTGTATTTTTTGACAGAATAACTCATAAATATCTAAAGCTAAAGATTGTTTTGGAGTTGGCACATTCAAAGCTTGGAACCATTAGCCAGTACCTGAGTGTTATGTGTCCATTTCGTTCACAGAATGATCAAAGCATTCTTTCCTGTAGGACTGACTGTTGAAATATGTGCTAGGTTTTCTAAATGTCTAAGAATGCAGTTGACATGGTCAAGAAATATGTGAAAGCAAGCTAGCAAGATGAAATGGAACAAGTATATTTTGGAAAAGTCATGAATTTTTTTTTGTTGAAGAAGAGTTACATGTAATGTTACTGAGGATGGACTCGTTCAAGCATATACAAGAAACAATCTAATCGATAGACACTGAAGAAGATTCTGATGAAGTAATCCAGAGATCATAAATCTGAGGATTTTACACGGCATTACTTTTCAGTATCGAGTCGTTCTAGTTTTATGTAGCTGGTAATATCTTGCAATTGTTACCCATCCACTTGCTAGGAACGATATGTCTGTGATAATATTCTCAACAACAAGTTCGCCCCTCGCACCTTTGATAAACAAATGTGCTCTTTGATTTACAATTGATGCATATAAACAATCTGTTGGTAATATCTAGTCATTTAAATGCTGAAGTCATTCTAATGATAAATTCTCATCGAATTACGCCAATGCTGTTGTTATTTGTTTCACCTTTGTCCAGTTTTTTTTTGTTGGTTGTTGTGGGTTTCTTTGCTCTATACTTATGAATTGTTGTCAAAGCTTTCCGTACATAGTTTATTAGTTTGTTCTTTCCGGTAATTAATGGATACAAACTCATTATCTTTGTTAAAGCCATCGCCGGCTTTTGCAATCGGCTCTCGCAATCGGCCCTTTTCTTTTTGGATGTCATGTCGTTTCACAATATTATTATCAAATTCGATCAGCTGATTGGATTTTTACTTCTATGTACACAGTGCCATGAAAGCGGAAAAAATTGCAGCTCGTCAGGCCATTTTACCTCTGATCCAAGCAGAGGAAGACGCAAGGTAAATCTCTTGCATGACATTAAAGTAGTTGATTCTTTCCTTAGTAGTATTGAAAGTGATCAATTTTCCTTTCTTCAAGAGAGTCATTAATGAATGAATGTTGGAATCTGAAATGAGTCTCACACACATATGGTGTGTGATATCTCCAAAGCGTAGGTTTGGGGAGCTTCTTTTTCGATTAAAAGAGGACAATTTTGTCGCAAGGAGGTTTTGAAATGTCAGTGCGTAGTCTTGCAATTTTGTTGCCGACATTCTCGATGTCCGAAAACATCAGAAATGCATCCCATTTGATTAAGTTTCTCTTGTAGGTAGGAATGGTGTTTAAGTTATTTGTCACCATTTTGTACAGTCGTTTCGGTGGAGGGTTAGTACTAATTACACTCCTTGAAGATTATTCATAGCGCTGCAGCATTTTCTGCCTGTCCACTCGTAGGCTTTGATCTGTGCATGGGATGGGTAGGGAGCAGTAGGTAGAAGCTGACATAGCTGCCCAACAGTTTGACCCGAGTTTACCATGGCTGCTCTTGGAGATTAACGCAAACTCATGGCGATATGCACTGGCTCTTGCCCATCTATTGAGAATTCTATCATCATTGAGCATTTTATCCTTTAGATTTTCAAGAGTGCCTGGTACTTTTATGTTGATTGGTGCATTAATGAAATATACTTCCTTGTCCTGACGAGCTCATATAGTCGCCGTGCACTGGCTACTGGTCGTTTCCTCGTTCAGGCGTAGGCTCTGCGTTGTAATCTAGGTTGGGAGTTTGCAAGCGCTGACCTGTGAACTCTCGCAATTCTCTTGACTTCTTTTATTCAGTCTCGGCTTAGTTTTCCCTTAGCTTGTTCCTTGCCTTCAGTATAACCGCTACGAAGATTGTGTGATAAACAGACAATCTCACCTGCAGCGTACTTCACTACGCTATTACACTTGACTTTCTATCTAATCTAACGTGTGATGTGAGAATGTAGGAGCGGTTGAATTTTGATCATGCTTTATAATCAGTTTACTTATTCTTGCGCAGCTGTGAATGAAGATGGCACTTACAAAGATTGTCTCGCCCCTTGTCCCTCAGGTTTGTAAAAGAGCGTAGGAAACAACTGGAAGAAGAGAAGGCGCTGATGGCTCATGTTCCTGGATGGAAAGTGGGCGAAAATGTTTACTCCACAGGAAGATGGATGCCTCCAGCAACAGGAAAGATGATGGCAGAACTGACCTGAGTATTGGGAATGAGAAAAAAATTTAGCATTTCAATGCTTCTCTGTTTCAACGCTGGTCCCTTGATTTTGCCCATAGTTCTCATCAGCACATGACAAGATGGTGGTGGATAATGTCTTCCTCTACACATTTTGAATCGGAGAGTGAGCCACACAAAGTGGATCTATCTCCCATAAGAAATTTACAGGCAAGAGTGCTGAAGGGATGTTTTAGATTTCTTCCCGCGGAAACCATCATTACTCAGAGAGCGTGGTTTAAATTCTCGTCAAGCCCATGATCTCAAACTTGTGCTCATCTGGTCTGTTCAGTTGATGTTAGTATTGCACAGTGACCGCCGAGTCAGTTGCACGTCTTAGATTCCTCGAGAACAAACTCATTTCATGACTCGAAGGTTTCTTCCGCTAGAACTCCCGCTTATAGCCACGTCTTTCAGTGAGAAACCTTATTTTTAAAGGTGGCTTATTAGGCAATAAAGCGCTTATTCGAGTATGGTAACGATCTGAATTAACTCTCGACACTTTGAAAAGATTTGATTCTCACTGTTTTCGTCTGATCAGACAGCATCGTGGAGTCTAATACTGCGTCATTGACTGTTCCCCAGATGCTCATGCTGGAAAGCACCTGGTAATTTTACTCCCGCGTATCACTATGTTTAGAACTTGTCGTTGCGTAGTTTTCAATTGTCAAGTCGTAGACGCACTCATACATACGTTTGCGAGAGTACAGTGATCTTCGAACTAGAGGCCTTTCTTCCAAGCCAGCTGTCGTTTGCCTTTACCTAGATATTCAATTCTTTGAAACGAAGTGTATACGACACCTTAGCGTCGCACCGACTGTCCGTAATCCTTTTGTGGTCTCCCATTATCAGCTCCCGGATCCCAAACCAGTGTCGCAAGTCTTCAGTTTGGGAAGCACCCACCGACTGTATACTAAAACTCATGAGCTATAAGCTCACCTCAATGCAGAAAGTGCTTCATAAGATAAGTCTATGATCGAGTCGCAGGGTGCACGCACAGATGAAGCTATTTTTCAGCCGGTGGTGACGTATGTACCTGTTAGAGAGATCAGGATTTCGTTTCTCATCGTGGCTAGGTAACAGAACAATACCTCATGCTTAGTTTCATTCATTCGACCGCGCGGATCAGGCCTGGAGGCATTCTTCATCTGCGCAGCTCCCTGGCATCGTACTCGCGCGTGCTCCATAATTGGAATCGGGCAGTCCGTTTGGCCACGTGATGGAGACGCAGCTCTCGACGAGCCAAGATTTGATTTTGTGAAGACACTCCAGCAAACAGTTTTGTGGGAGAGGACAATCTGAAGATTTCCCTGCAGGAAAACACATTCTAGTCGGGAGAGGCTGGGTCTCGAACTTACCGACATATCCGAGTTTCAAGATGTGAGCGAATTGCCGAATCCCAGTGGCAGGATCCTAGCTAAAGCGCCAGACATAGTCACGAAAACTCGCCTCGGAAAAGTATTGGCATAGTAGCCCTCACGTTGGTTACTCCGTTGAAATATATGGGGGCTGGATCGTCTCCTCCGTGCGTAATTCTAGCTCCTTTTTCACATGCTTACAAGTCTTCTAACACCTTCGTCAAGAAATCGAGGGTCCCTTCCCGATTCGATTTTGAACACAAGTACAGATTAGCTTCATAATCTGTACTTATCTGTAGCTTCATAATCTTACAGGCTTGTCGGGATCTCGAGCTTCGTCTCTTGGCTGCTTCGAGCCCGACTCGTGAATGCGGTATGTGCCTAGGCAGCACGTCAAAAGTAAGCCCACATTCTACGCTCTCGAGGTTTCGGTAGTTGGTACCAAAACCATGAAGCAACAACAAGAGTTAGCATGGCTTTGGGCAGCACGGTTAGAGAGTGTGAATGAAGGCTCTTCATCTTCGGCCTTCGATCTACAGACGGACGGACAACGCTTCTCCATTTCGTTCTGGAGTCCAGCAGATTTGATTCCGGGGGCCGAATTCCTCTAACTCAGACTTAGATCGAAAGCGACGAGAGACAGAGAGACAGAGATCGAGAGCAAATTGAAAATGCCCGACGAAATACGGACCGCGGCCATGGAGCCCAACACGAGTTCCAGAAGGGCACCAGAGATAATTGTTACGAACAAAGCGTTCCAAGTGGTGAGACTTGCACCGCTGCCATTCCAGTTCCTTTGAAAGCGAGCGAGATCTGTTTCTATTGATCATCCATTTCACTTCAATTCAGTTCAATTCAATTCAGTTCAAATCAATTAATGTCAATTCGTCGTGCTCGCAACGAATGTTGACGGTGTGCGAGGTGAGGTCCTCGCAGGCACAAGCTTGGGTCAAGAATATGACGGGCGGCGCCGACTCCGACCCCGACGAAGACGACGAGTCCAAGTCCATGGCGGCAGCAGCAGCGGACGCAGGCCCAAGACCAGCCAGGTGAGAAATCGGAGGGAGATGTCTGACTGTCGGTCGCGGCGATTGTTGTTGAGCGAGTATGTTCGGTAGCTTGACCTAGACGTGAAAGAGCCGAGTGGTTGATTGCAGATTGGGTTTGGGGGCGAAATACGTGCCCCACTCTGCGGCGGCAGCATCGATGTCCATGTCTCCGGTCGAGAAGAAGCTTCGCGCCAAACTGAACGCCGCGAGGATCGATGCCTCTCAATCTCATGCTCCTGCACCCGTATCCGCTTCGGTGTCCAAGAATTTACCATCTGATCATCAAGGCGACGAGGACGAGGACGAGGACGACTGCATGCTGGCCAAAGACAGTAAAACATCGGCATTCGGACGCAAGCTTAGGAACACTTCCGCCAACCTGTTGCTACCTACCAGCAAAGCCGGCAAGCGGAAGCGTTTTGGCAAATAATTATTCATTACTTTGACTTTCGCATAATTGGCGATAGGCAAATTGGTTTGCGTTTCTCGCGATCGGTAGTCACCAATCCTCCAGCATCCTCTTGAATGCCAACTAGTGCATGCAATACCACATCTGCCTCTGGGATGGATATACATACAGGAGGTCCATATCGATGGAGAGTGCACTCCTCGTGTCAGTGGAGCCACCAGATTCAAAGTTGGTGCTGTACTCGGTCCACTCCTGCCCAAATCATGTCATCCATGAAGCTGACAGTGAGTTGGGGCAGGGCAATGAATGAATGTTTTGATATTGATAATGATACAGAGGATCCAAATCCAGCTTCAAGACGCAAATTATGCATCCTCGTTCTTCTTGTTTCGAATCATTCGTAATACGGTCCACATGAATGTGGATATGGCGAACAGAACGGCTCCGACACCTAGCGCTGCCTTGCCACCCACAGTGACGACGATATTGACCAGCAGCCCGGCAAGCACGACACCGAAGAAATTGGCCGTCATCGCCTCCCAGAATGGCATGCCCAGTATAGCTGCCAGAATGGCCCCGGTCCATGCCCCCGTACCCGGGAATGGCACGGCAACAAACAACATCAGTCCCAACCACTCGAACTCCTCGATGACACCTCCCTTTTTTCTCGTTCTTTCGAACACCCAATCCAACACCTTCTTCGCTGTACTGCTCCGCTCTCCCAAGAACGTCGACAGCTTGTCCAGGTAGAGCACAATCAGAGGCACGGGTAACATGTTTCTGCCACGCACACGCAACAGGTTCGCGAAATGAGCCCAAATCAATCCACGACAGGACTCGTTGGCATTCTGCTTCTAATGCTTCGGCGAAACGAAACGCTTGTGCATCGTCGATACGCTTCCGAAAGCGAACCTTCGTTGCTGGGCGATCGGCATCACATGGGGAAAAACTGTGGAGGAATGAGGAGGCGTGCGACGGATTTTGCGAGGTGCGAGTCGATTTGCGAACTGAAAGTCCGCTGGAGAGGGGCGAGAGAGACTGACCCGAGCACGGCGATGAAGTAGCCCTTGATGGGATCGACACGGAGCCAGTAGCTGATGGGAATGGCACCGCGGAGCTCCAGCACAGGGAGCATGGCCACGGTGAGGACGACGAGCTCGTCCGGCCATCCGGAGCCTCGGAGGAACGAGGCCACTTTGACGCCCAAGGAAGACGCGGCAATCGAGCTCTCAGCCACGGCCAGCGCCGCGTGCGAGCCGGAATTACACGCAAGCAAGGCCAGCGCAAAGAATGCAAGTTTCACCAGCTTCTTGTTTCGCGCTGCCGCTGCCGCTCTCGTCCGTCCCTCTGAAGTCTCATCCTCGTCGCCGTCCTCGTGACGAGCTTCTGTCTGCACAAATTTGGGCACCGGGTCGTCAACCTCGAGGCTCGAGCGGATGGCAAAAACGTGTTCTCTCTCGCAAGTGGCCAACAATGTGCTCAGAGCAGCCCTTCTGACGCAATTACACCTTCAGCTGGGGCACACGAGGGTACGCAAAGGAGAGAAAAGCTTTACCAGTGAACAAGGAGACGATCCCGAAGGAGAAGGTGATGCAGAGCATCGGATGCCACCACCCGGACGTGGAGGCCACGAAATCTTGCTTCCTTGCCGAGCAGCAGCATGTTTGAATGTCGGTTGCCAGGAATTTCGCCTCTGTATGATTCTGCTCGTCCGTAGAGCTGCTGAAGACCGCGGTCTCTGAGGAGACACCAGAAGGTGCGAAACTGCGATGCATCCACAAGCCATTCGACCCAATGGAAGCCTTCAAGTTCGAAATCCGCAGTTGCAATCAATCCTAAAAAGTGCTGCTGATTTCTCCGGGGACGCGACCAAATCCCTCGGTGACGGGGACGGCAACTTTGATCACTCACTGTCCGTGAACCATTCGGTTCTCTCACTTCAACGACAGAACCGATGAAATGGCCGTGTCCTCTTCCCTTGTCTTCTTCTCCCTCACTAGGCCTTGCAACCCTATACCGCTACTCCATGTTCTTCTTAGGCTTTCATTTTCTCGGGTGTTGCATCTTTACGAGCCATCCTTCTTGAGCATCTTCTTGGAGACGCGCGCGGAGTTCATAATAGGGTCGATGGTGAGAAGCACTGTCTTGCGTTCGTTCGTTTGCCATGTTTTGTCGTTGAGAGCTTTGCCTACAGAGATACGTGTTGTCGTCGAGCTAACTGAGTTCGAGGTACGTGATGATTCTTCAGCTCTGTTCGCTCGGCACCTGACACGTTCACCCTACTTGAAGGTTACAGTTCCTCTCGGGATGACCTTCCATTGGGTCGAAGTAGTTCCAACTTTCAGTGTTGAAGATTCATAACTCGCCTGCTGCTTCACTCGACAAGCAAGATTGCTTACCATTCTACCCAGAATCGCATCGGGTCGGTGTTACGATGTGTGTAAACGCAAGTTTTATTTTATCGATGGTTGTAATGGGAGTGTTTACAATATAGTTGCATGAATCAAGGCTCAGGGAAAACTCTGCCAGTTGCCATCGTAGTGCAACTTTGTTTGGAATACTTAGATTATCGTGGGTCCATCCATCATCCTCAATTCGCAGACACAACAAATGTTACGTTCCTGCAATTCACTGCCAGCTTTGTCTCGGCGTGATGATGGCCACCGGCTCATCTAGCCTGCTTCTAATCACAGAGTCAAGTAGAAGCACCCATCTAGGCACAAATAAGTTGGATGCTGGCAAACAAAACTCGTCCTTAAAGTTAATAGGTTCATTCAAATTCAGTTCCGGCGATAATTTATGTACTTTACAAGACATGGTGGTATCGTCACTGACGCCACAAAATGCTCATACAGTTTCGTACAGATGCGAACTGATAACAACGCGATACCATGAAGAAATAATTTTTTCCAGCGTTGTTTAACATGACTGACAAACTTTCGATCATTCTGGACTCCAGCTTCAAGTAGTCGTCATACACATCAGATGTACACCAAAGGGAAGATAAAGCTGTCATGAAGATGACATGAAACGATAGAAGGTGAGAGAGGAAGATCCTGGATCCTGTACGCAGCCATTATTCTGTACAGTGCTTGTCCTTGCTGCGGGGGAGTGTCGACTCCCCTCGTGAGACAGTGAAACCGCCCATCACCTGTTTTAGCTACCCGAGCTTCATTTCATTTAGACTCGATTGGCGAGTCATGGACTCCTCTCACATCTTACTCAACCAAGACACTCCAAGAATGATGGAGACGAAGGTGGCTATGGCAATACCAAAAATGCCGATCAGAATTCCCGGCACACTGAGAGTTCGCCAACCTTTGGCTGCAGCCATTCCTGCAGCAGTGCTGGGACCGCCTACGTTTGCATTGGAGGCCATCAACAGCTCTTTCCGCTGGAAGCCACACAGCTTTCCGACTCCCAGAATCATCGCCAGATGAACAGCCACTTGCACGAGAGAGAAGAGGAAGAGACCTGGTGCACTAGTCATCACACTGGTAATGCTCGCGTTCGCGCCTATTGACGCAAAGAAGATCTACATTCACACGAGAGCACAGATGTCAGGCCTGCCTCCCTCAACTCCTCAATGACTGCAATGACTGCAATGACCAGCCAGCCCGCCAAATGGCCGGCCTCAGTGCTCAGAGCTTCTACCCTCCTCGGTCTCGTGGGTTTCTGCATAACAGGGCAAAGTGGAGACACTTCCTTGCAAGCTGGAGACGGCACACTACACCTGGAAACCACCGATTTGCAACTTTGACATACCTGCAGTAGAATGATCGCTAACCCTGAGCCGGATGTGGAGATTTTCCCACAGAACGAGGGAAATACAGTGGCCACGATCACAACGATGGCCGTGATACACGGAATGCCGCCTCCTTGCAGGTTCAAAGCCTTGGCCATCAAGTTTCCAGCTGTGCATATGGCCGCAGAAAGGGCCAATGCAGTCGCCGTTTCTTCAACTTTCAGCCCTTGTCCACCGAAGCCCAAAATCGCTTCAGGCTCCCCTGAAAACCAAGCACCACTCTCGGTTCAGGATCCGGAACATGTCAAAGCAGCACTCGAAACCAGAATTGCGGAGCACCTCTGGGCTACATGTTGCAATGAATGACATAGCGTACCAGGCTTCGAAGCGTCCGGAGGAATGTTCGCAGCGAGAGCGAACAGAGTGGTGAAGTAGATGGCGCATATTAAATTGTCGGCAGCCAATCCAGCAGCTACGATCGAAGGTGTTGTTCCTAAAGCCTCGCTCACAGCGACATAGTTCACAGCTGCGCTTCAGAAGAACCGGCACATGAATCACAGCGTCAGACGAGGAGCAACTGCGACTGCACGTTCAGTCGACGACAGAAGGATCGGCACGAGATGGGTGGCACAGGGATAGATGAAGAAAGCAAAACCTGTCGCACTGAAAGCATGACACAGAGCACAATCACAGGAAACAGTGTGACATTCGACCACGACTTTAGGAGGTTCAAAAGCTGTGCTCGCCTCCGCCAATGTGGCGACTCATCAGAGCGGCGGCGATCTTCCACCCGTCAGGCCCCAACGACTTCAGGGGAACGACCAGCAGCGCCACCCATGTTCCGAAAATTGTTGCCACTGCCAGGGCGAACGAGGGTCAGCTGAAGGAGCCTTGCACACTTTTCCCCGTTTGCATACTGCAGGTTTGACAAAACCAGATGTAAGTCTACGACGTCATGACCTTAAAAGGAAGAAGCTCCAGGGTGGATGACGAAATACCGGACCCCAGAAGGAAAGCGATAATCAAGCGCCCCGTGTCTTTGATCACTCTTCGCAAATCCGCCCCGTATAATAACAAGGGCACAGCCAGAGGCAGCAGATAAGAATTGACCACATTGTACGCAGGAGCTGAAGACGCTATCAAGCCCAGGTTGCTGGCCGCGAGTCCCACCAGCGTGCTCACTAAAGCCCCACTCAGAGCGCTCCCCCAATTCGTCTTCTCCGACCTGTTACAAACACAGAGAGACGGACCTCTTGAATTGAAGTCTGGCACACTACGAGCAGACAACTCCTTCCCCCAAAGCAGGACTGCCATGCGCAATCCATAGAATCTGTTTGGATTTGGCGATGAGAACTATGTAAAGCTTCAGTGTGCCCAGCACAAAATGTGAAGCCTCTGCACGCCTTCAAGCTTCGTGTGTGCGTTTGCTAGCTTCGATCCGTCCATTCATACAGAAACTTTTGGAGCTTTACTCGTCTCCACCATCTTTGAGGTTCGAATTCCATACATTCCACCCACAATTCAGGATCTAAACTCGCAGCATCCTCTCCCAGATCCAACTAGGAAACAACGTAGCAGATATTATCGAATTTTATCTCTAAATCAAAACGAATCGCGAAATGGAGTATCACCATATGCCAAAGGCGCCCGCACAGACCAGAACTGTCCATGTTCCCCACGTATCCCCGGCAGCGATCAGTGGAGCGGCCAATCCTGCTGATGCTCGGGCAATACCGCATCGTCCACGTCCATGTCCACCCTGATGGAATTTCAGTTCCCCAACCTGTGCAGGTAATGCTTCAAGCTTCGAACGAAAAGTCTTCTCCCCCTCTCCCTTCCGTGCAAACGAAATTAGTCCAACTCCTCTCAGATGACTACCGGAAGTCCAGCCAAAATGGCCTTTGCCTCGAGACCCCACAGCGGTGTAGCCTCTTGTGGTTCCCACTCCAGCCAAGCTATACATCGCCATTTCGCACCGCTGACATGCGGGCCACCAATGCTCCCTCAATGATCGTCAAAGCGAACAATCGTTAGAGAATCCGGAAACTGCGCTCTCGTCCTCGAAGACCGCTCGAGCGGATCTTGTTAGACCTCGACAAGAACACCCCGCAGAAGGGACGAACGATCGAACCATCGACAGCCTATTCGAGAACGCCGAAGAGCGGTGCAGATTCTGCGCTACCTGTGGAATTCATTGTCCTCTCTTTCCTTCCTCCCTTCCTTCCTTTCGGGTGGTGAGGTGAATTGGGACTCTTCGGACGCTAAAACTTGTCGTTGATCGCCCTGAGCGCTGTGCCAAACTCTGTCAGGCTACTCGGTAGCTGACAGACAGCACAGCTTTTCACCGAAGGAATTGATTCCTCCGTCTCCATATCGATATCGGTTCCTGGCTCAGTTCCCTCATCTCACTTCGAAACCATGATACCACTGCGGTTCGCTTCCATTGAGGAATTTTTATTTTATTTTAATGTAGCGATGGGCTTTGGATATGTAACCATGTTTGTTTCAAGATCAGCTCGTTATCATATCATTGTTAGTCTTATGATTATGATATTTTTAAAAATAAATAACACATATCTCATACTTTGTATGAATTTCATAAATCCAATTTGATAATCGCATCATATAACTCTTTAGTTAATTTTTATCATTTGATGCTATGATTTGAGTCTTATCAACAACAATTTGCTATTTCAATTCATGCTCTTCATGAATCTACTTTGTCTATATTGAAAATAATCCTTGTGCCATATTATTGAATCCATAAAAATCAATCTTTTACTCAACAACATTTATGGATTTAGATTTGTTCTTGTCAATGTGTGAAACTTACATTTTTTTTGATAATGATATGTACTGATTGAAGAAAAAAATCTTACAAAGTATAATTATACAATCTATAGGATTCATAGCCGACAATCATTCATATAATTTGGATGTCCAAGAGAACAACAATTTTAGTAGTAGTATTCAACTTGATCCAATTTTGTTTCGATACGAGAGTATAAATCAAATATCCAATATAGATTATTTGTTTATATTCTAATTCAAACAAGGTCAAAAAAATGATTGCATTTACAATAATTTTTTTTTATCAATTACATTGTAATGTTGATACTTACATTTCAAAATATGTATATTTTACAAGATTAGCTCAACATGTAATGCCAACTTCTTTGTCATCGTTTGTTGAAATTTGTAGTAACAACGTTTTGTTGCAAAATGTAAATCATGATAAAATAACAAGTGAATTTTCATCTTCTTAATAAAATCCAAACTTCTCAAAAATATACTATTTACCTCTATTCATACGTATATTTGTAATCTGGTGGCAATTCTAGGAAACAATGATGTGAAAAGCTTTTCTTGCTTAAATGACAAAAAAATTTTGAAAATTGTACCAAAAATTATTGCCAATTTTGATGGCTTTGCACATCTCCGCCTTTTACAACTCTCTTGATCAAAATTTTGCTCGTGTTAAATTCATTCACCTCAAAGAAATACAGATTAGGATTGATAATTATATATTTAGTTATTTTTACTTTGGCTTCATATCTTGCACACTTGACTTTAATTTAATGGCTCTGCACATTTTTGACATTTTAAACTTTCTTGATCAAAATTTTATTACTTTTTAATTCATTCAAATCAAAATTCTTTAAGTTTCATTAGTTAAAACTTTCCTCTATTTTGCATATATTATAATAACACACTTTACACCAGTAATCTTGCTTTAAGCTTCACTTCAAGTCTCATTTGACACACCTAAAAACTATTTATTTTTCAAATATCTTACACATAAAATTTTTAATTAGATTAATTTACTTCTTTAATATATTATTTTTTAATTTTACACCAAACTTATCAAATTTTAACAGAAAACTTCAAACATAAGTTATCAAATCAATTTTATCACATTTGATTTATTCAATTTTAACATCTATAGTTACATTTCAATTGTGCATTGTTTAGAAGGTATTTTACAACAATCAGACAAAAGTCACTGCATGAATTACACGAGATGTGACAAAAATATTCATGAGCAGAAAGCATCAACACAAGACAAAGAAAGTATGTGGTTCACCCCATGAGGCCTTTGTTCACATACATAGCAAATATTCAAATGTATTAAGCGCATGCAAGGATTTACAAAAGAATGATTGGGAGTTTAAGTATCCCGGTGTAAACTTACAAGAGTGAGTTATCAATAGCAGATTAATCCAAATACTGAGTTAACCCAAATACATTGGTTTCGTCAGCTCATGTCTAGAGTTCTAAAAACTCACGCTTCTCTAATGTCTTGTAAAATCATGAAATTTATGTTACGGTTTAAACCTCATGCTTCTCTAGTGTCTTGTTTATTCATGAACTCCAAGCTAAGATTCAATTTGTTCAATCAAATATCTTACAAAAAAAACCCATCATATAAACTAGAAAGTTATTATTGGCGTTCTTGTTTTCATTAGTGATGACGTCAATCTCGTCTCATATCTCTCTTTTTATAATATGGAGCTTACAAAAATTACCACGAACTTTATCACATTGAAGCGCAGTGGACAAGATGCATTTCAAATTCTACTAGACAAGATAGGTGACAATGTCTTTCATCTCATACAATTTATCTTTTGGCATTCTTTGCTTTTTTTTATCTTTCTTCCGTGTTGTTTAAATACGGTGAAGGTAAAATTAAATTTTAATTAATTTAATATAGGATTAAAAACTAATCAACTAAATTAATTGAAGTAAAGCTAATCAAATTTAAAGTTTTTTTGGATGAACTCATAATAAATTTTCGAAAAAAATTTTAGTGTATAGATTTAAATCTACATTTTAAGAATAAACTAATTTAAATTGAAAAAATAAATTTTCTCTTTAAATGTATTCAGTGATGATATTGATAGTTCTAGAGTATACCTTTTTAAAATTACGTAACAATCTTATATTAATTTATATTTTCAAGCAATGTGGAAAAAATACTATATAGGCTAACACATCAAAAAAAGGATATTTAAATAATTCTCTCGAAATTTTTTTGATAATTGGATCATGACAAGTTAGTGACATCATAGTCAAATATATAACTGAAATTTGACAAAGAGACAACAATTTTTAGGTGATTCGTGAAAAAACATAATTATCAAAGATATATTTTTGACAAAGATGATAACAATTTTCAATAATCTTGGCAAGTTTAGCTCTATCGACTTCTTTGTCATTTTTTGGGTTTGTGATCCTAGATATAAGCATCATTGGGAGGTATTAAGGGATCAGGATGTGAACCTATATCTTTTACATGTAATCTTAGATTATACAAGAAAAATTTTAATTTTTGACTCAAAACATCAGCTTAAATTATTTTTTCTATCTATAGATTGAATTTGAGGTTTACAATTTTGAAAATACCAACAAATTTAGTGTGTTTCACATTACTTAATCTCTTGCTTTGGCAAGAGAATGGAGGTTATTACATGTTGACTTGAACATGTAGTAAGACTTTTCAACTTCCACTTATTGTGTTTTTCACATCGATAAGGTTATTTTGAACTTAGATCATATATCCATACACAATTTCTTTTCTCACGAGTAAATGTGATATTTCCTTACATGCAACAAGAACCCTCATGATTTCATGCTCGTTTTCATTACAAATATTAGCTAGCCAAAGCGTTTAAAGATGCAGTGTTTACGATGACGCGTGAAGATAAATACTTCACGCGTCATCGTAAGTTTAGGAGTTTAAGACGAAACATAAATACTTCAAATCAAGAATAATTTAGTATGCTGCAAGCATACTAAATTGGATTATCTTTGATATATATTTTCATTGAGAGCATCCAGTTTCTTGTTGTAAAGGTGGTGGTGAGTGTTCGTACGAAAGTCAAAGTTTTGGAGGTTTGAATTGTTTATTTTCATGTATATACTATGAATATGATGGTTGCAGCCATTTGACCAAGTATAGGAGCAAAGGAGATTTCAAATCTTTGTTTTTTAAACATTATTTGAAATCTCCTTTGAAAGCTATGGATACGAAATTTCAAATGTTTGTAAGTAAAAGCACGACCGCCTATCATACTAGTCAACATGGATATCTCTTATTCTAGCATATTATGTAGCTTATTTTAGTTATCTAGCCATCACTACACAATTATGTTACTTTGATGGAGAATTAGTTGTTTCAATTGAGATTGATTTTATTATAATAGATACTCTAAGATATAATTCTCATTATGATACTTTCGAGCCTAGCCCCTAATTTTCTTTCAGTATTTTCGTTGTGAGACTTGACGCGATATTACCATCATTTTTTACCGTTCACTTGGCCCCTTCATATATATATATATATATATATATATGTCAGTTCTTTCATTCAGCAATTCCGCCTGTTTTATGGGAGCCAGCATCCTTGGAGAGATCTTAGGGTAGATGGGGACGACCCACCAAGTATCAATCGTGAGAAGGAAACACGGGGAACAGATTGGAAGAAGAGAGGAGCACAGTCAAACAACAAAAATGCGGGGATGGCCCTTAAAGTCTTATAAAGATGAAACCAAGTGGGAAACATGTGACAGTTCCAGTGGGAATATGTCCTGGGAATGCTACCGGATTTTTAAGAAAATTTTCATTTTATTTGTTTAAAATCCGAGCTCTGTTCGTATTGTTGATTACTTATAGTAGGACAAATTTCGGACTTAGGATTTATTTTCTTCATGCGGCAGCTAGTATACTTGAACTCTGTGCGTATCTACTACGACCAACCCAACGAATAACACATACACTGACGTGGACGCGAGACATCCATCACAGTGGGAATCAAAGGCCAGAGTGGACAAGCATAGGGCCCAAAACTGAGCTCGTCTCGGAGAGAACCAGTGTCGGGAGTGTCGCCAGGGAAGGGCTGGAGGACAACAAAAGTCGTCGTATAATTTGATAGTTTATTGTCAGCCCACCAGACTGAGCAGGAGAAGCTGGAGGAGAGGTGAATCGCCAGACAGACTACAGTGGAAGAGTATTGTCCGCAGGGCGGCCCATGCGTGGCAAAGATCGAAGCGACGTGAAATTCATGGGCATAATTATCTGACAAAACTGAAAATAACTCGCACATCCCCTGCACCGCGTGTGAATGCAAGTATTATAATATACGACGAATCGGTCACGGAATCGCTCGAGGTCTCACAGTCTCTGGGTCCGCGAGGACATTGACTAAAAGTCCTGCAGAGCCTGATTCTCAAAACGCTCAAAGCTCTCTCACTCTGCTTGCGTTATACCCATCACACTCCCGGCCGAGCTTTTGTTTCACGAGGGAAAGTGCTAGTTGCCGTCTAGTAGCTGAGGACTCCAGGACTCAGCTGATTGCCATGGCTACGGAAGCTCCTCGCAAGCTCAGGGTGTTAGGCCTCCACGGATTCCGAACCAGCGGTGCCATTCTGAAGAAACAGCTCTCCAAATGGACTCCTGCTGTTCACGACCTTCTCGATATCGTAAGCACTTTCCACTCTGTGCGGGTTACCAGTGTGGCACAATCTTAAACTTCCGCAGTGACGTCACCGAAGGCCCTCGAGCTTGGAGCGCAAACTCGTGGCAATAGTTTGGAGCTTTTAGTCGCGATAGGTGCTCAGGCAGCTTGCGACTGGCCGTATGCGTTTTTCATGCACGTCGTACTTTGTAAAGAGCTGTATCAGCGCCAGAAGGATGTCGAGTGGCGCCCAATCGTTCACGAAGGCTTCCATCCACTTCCTGCGTAAATTGCTCAGAATAGACAGGACTATGTTGAACGAGAGTGTTTGTACTGCTTTTCAAAGGTACAGAAATTCTTCGTTGCAGTCATGGTCGAAAGTGAAATCGCGATCTCAACCCATTCTCGTGTGACGGCTGTGTGGTTCAGACGTATCTAGACGGTCCAACGCCTGCCCAGGGCGAGTCCGATTTTGCACATATCTTCGAAGGTCCATATTTCGAGTGGATGCAGAGCAATAAGGTCTGACTCTCATGTATCATTGTTGCTGATCGTGATTGACTAGAATCTAGTGCATTGTTTCCGAGTGCGTTGGAATGTTGTTGAATGTATGCCAGTGCGTAAATCGGACGTTCAGGTCAACGAGTGACTTCGTTGGCTCCTGTTTTGCAGGATTATTCCAAGTTCTTCAACTACAGAGAATCTCTCGCATATATAATGGACTTCATGGAAAAGAATGGACCATTCGACGGGGTCTTGGGATTTTCTCAGGTAGCGATCGTTCTCTCCAAAAGTCGGCTTTAGCAATTTTGTGGCTGTCTGCGCTTTCAGTGGAGTTCCCAAGTAAACCAGAGCTCGTGGTCGTGGACGCTGTAATGAGATTCTGACGGTCTTGAAGAAGGCCAGCTCCAAAGTGTGGTTTGTTTTAATTCGAATTTTTGGCTAGATCTTGCTGGATTTAAACTCTTGAGATTTCCATCGGAGTGCTTTCGTGTATGCAATTAAGAGTTGGCTAAATCATTGCAGGGTTGTACTTTGGCTGGATGTTTAGTGGCCGTGCAACAAAGGGTACGTATAGAAACCAGTCAACATGGTTGACGTCTCTGAATAACCGCCCATATCCCTGATTTTCGCTCTGTGAATTAGTAGTCATCTTCCGATCATTGAAGCTGTTACTAGGTTAAGTTTGATTGAACCTTCTACAAGCCTAAGGCTGCACGAAACCCTGCTGAGGCATTGCGAGTAGCAAAGCTGAAAGGAGCGATGACGAGTACTCCTTATTTGTCATTTTTCAAGAAATGGGAGATTCTGGGCAAGTCAGCAGCTGACCTTCCTCCCATCCGCTTTTATATCGCGATTGCCGGAGCTCACCTGAGAGATCCAGGCATTCACGATGTTTACCTGGGTTCTCCTATCGATGTTCCATCTTTGCACTTCTCCGGTAAGTTGCTTCACAGCCGCGTCACATGTATGAGTAAAGTTTTCAAGTTTGAATGCTGATTATAACTTATGCCACGACGGGCAAGTCATCTGCGAGAAATCTACTGTCTCTTGCACTTCAGATGACTTAGCAATCGATCCAAGAGATTTGCAAGTCTGTGTAACAAAACAGACCGATGTGCTCTTTCTTTGACGGGCTCCATCTTATGCACGTCTCTGACCAGCCGTGTGAGGTTTGCACTTGGGATTTTATGACGCTGTCGCGAGGGCAGTCCAGGCTGCGATGTATAGTTGTATGATGAGAGTGGCTGTTGAACAGGAGAAAAAGACCCTCTGCATGAGCCATCCACATTCTTTCTTCGATACTGGAAGGACCCTGTTGTTATAACGCATCCCGCAGGCCACACTGTTCCGAGATTAGGTGAGGGACTTGGAAACTTCCTTCTATCTCTGATGATGTTAGGTTTGCAGACAACGCCCTGCATTCTGTTCGTTGGTGCAGTTTCCATTTGCTTTCGGTTCGATAATTTTCAGCAAATTCATCAGCTAGTCGGTCCTCTGCCTTCACCCTTGCAGTTTCTCGAAAGTGTTAGTGAAAAGTTGCATGCGGACTGCTTAGGCCTGGCTATGAATTTCTTTTGTGTCGTAAGCTCGTGTTCTCATGTGTGCTGCGTAGTACTTCAACTCCTACTTAGAAATGTCAAGAAACTCGTGAACGTTGCTGATCTCCCTCTTGTTCTATCTTGAGACAGACGAAACAACCGAAAAAACTGTGGTGACATTTTTGAAGCAATTCCACACTGCGCAGCCCGCCGCAGCAGACGAGATTGTCGAGAAGTAAACAGCGAGAAATAAGCTGAACTTCATGGTATTCTCTCTTTAAGAGCGGAGTGTACTCATTGTCATCCTGGTGACTGCGTTTCATTTCACTTCACGAAGGACACTTATAATAGCCTTGGTAGGAGTATTGATGCATTGCCAATATTTCTGGGAAGGCTTTCCATCGCGAATGGTTCCTCCCTGCAATCTAGAGTGTCATCTTTCTAAATCATTTCCGGAAAATAATGTTCACTGCAATTCTTTTTTGCCAGTCATCTCTGACTACCCTACGTTGTAAGTAAATGGTACAAAAGGAATTCGCTCAATTGTGCTATCGAGTACATACACAGTCCATGTCAGCACGTCTTTACACGTGAATATCTACCAATGCAAGCAAACCTCAACCACATGAATATAAAGGATCATGATATATAAGCCTTTACTGCAGCGCGTAACGGAGGAGGAGATCTGCTTTTCTCAATCGTCGTTGTAGATTTTCAATAATTGCACGGACCAAAGTGAGATTAGAGTGAATTAACCTCTTAACTCCTACTTGGAGAGCACGAAACATAAACACGTTAGACAGAGCATCTTGCTGGAATGAGGACTGTGTCAGAGGGAGTTGATTCATCCATAACTCCAACGAGAAGTCCGAGCATTTGTCCATGCTTGACGTCACCTTGATTAAATCTCACTATGGGTTTAGCCCTCTTCAATCTTCCGTATGTTCCATCATCATGAGAGTAAACTATCAGGTATAATGAGGGACAGCCTATCAAAACGACAAAGATTAGAACAAAAGGGTTACCATGGGGACACAGCCATTTCTGAACTCTTTTTCCACATTGTGATGATATTGGTCTAAGATCCATAAACAAAAGATCATATGAAACGCTGAGATGTATAGACTAAAGTGATTACTTGGCTACATATTACAAATGATAGTGAGTAGTGGCACATGACTCTCTTTCTAGAGTCATGTGCGTTGTCGCCTAAAATACACTATGTTACGAATTAAGATAGTTGTACCTTACCGTCTAGTATGATAATCGACTACGATGTTATTCACTATCAGATAATGACATTTCTTTAAAAACTATACCCTATACCTGCCCGATACCCGTCCGAAAGTGCAATTTTGAACCTTACCCGCCCCGCCCGTATCCAAAGTGTCCCGTACCCTACCCGAACCTGATTCTTCCGCTACGGAAGTAAAAAATCCTCAAGGATTTATTGAGGTTTAGTGATGTGATCGGTGGCACATAAGCATAGATAGGAGAGACAGTAAGTCGTCCAATTTTGAAGGGTCCAGCCGATTTGGCTTCTTAGTGATGGTGTTGCCGGCATCTGAGAAGTTGCACTCTGACTTAGCACTGGAAGCAGGAATGGCTAAGACAGATTGAATGACTCGAGAAAGGATTGGAAAGGAAGTTTGCTAAGTCTTCCACCAAAAGAGAAGACCGTGCTCATTGTACTTGAAGCTGTGGAGTAAATACTAGGCTAGTTCGATATTAACAGTATGCGCTTTGATTACAGTCTGGTCTAGACTATTGATACGTTTGACTGTTGCCCCTTCGCTGTGGTTCAAATCATCTTCCTCGTTGTACTCTGTCAACTGTCGGCGACCACGCACATGATTTATCTTAGGCTTTTTGACAAGACCGCGCTCGTTGTCGTCTTGGTCTTGCTTAGGAATATGCTCTTTCATCAATGACTCCAAATTTTCCTTGGCCTTGTCGATCTGTTCCTTGGACAAGCCGTACTTCACAAGACGACGTCTAATTCTGGGGTCAAGCAAAGAGACGATGACGTGAATTTGTTGGATGATGAACTCTTCCTTGATTAAGTGTCGAATGATCTACTTGATGGCGAAGATGTGTTGCGAGTCCTTTGCAATCTTACTATTGGTGCCGTCACTTGCTGTGTAGTACACGCACTAAGTAACCAGATCGCAATGAAAATTAGGCTATGCTTGAAGTAGCACACGCGTTGAACCATTGGCTGTTTGAATACCTCAATGGCGAGGGTCGCCTCCTGAAAAGGCTGAAAGAATGTGATGAGCTCCATCATCAACTCCTTGTCAATCTTTGCGATCTTCGCCGACTTCTTGACGGTCAACATCACCACGAGCTGCTCATAAGCATATGCGATGTTGCTTAGACACTTTAACAAGGAATTCCATCGAATCATGTTCTCCTGCTTGATCGTCTTATCCAGTTGTTCTTGAAGACCAACCTGCTTGACATGTGTGGAGAGCGTCTTGCAATGGTTGATCATATCGAATAGATTCGGAGCATATTCATAATGCCTATAGAATGGGGCGGTTTTCTTGTCGCCGACTTGCTTTGTAGTCTTGGCAAACACTGTCGTGATAATTGTTACGATGATGTGATTGATGTAGACGGACCAATTATAATAGCTCGTAATACCATCTTGTGCGTGCATGTTGGACACTCGATCGCTGACGACGATCGCACTAGCAGGATCCGTGATGGAAAATTGTTCCAGTATAGACCGAATCCTGGTCAAGACTATGCAAGCAGTATGACTATCGAAGTACGGACAACACGCCAAGATGCGACGGTGCAGAACGAAATCACAATTGATCAGATGGCTCGTGACATACAAGAATGAGGTCTTATTGATATCGGCGGTCAAGATATCAGTTGTACTCGCCATTTTAATGCCAGACTCAACGTGCTTGAGGATCTCGGTCTAGAGAATCTTGCGCCCCTTAGCAGCTCAATTGCTGATGTTGCGGCTGACGGTGATTGGAGCAGGGAGCAGCTCAACAACGTTCAAGCCGCGAGAGGAATTGACGCCAATGTCCAAGATTGTCTGCGTGTAAGCCTTGAAATCGCTGCCCTTGACCATGTGGAATGGATGGATGTCCTCGACACACATATCGGCAGCTGCAGCCACGACGAGCTTCTTGTCGGCCTAGGTAGGTGCTCTATGTGTTGCGAAAGCAGCCAATGACTGGTTGTTGATTATCGTGAAACATATGTGTTTAGCCAACGTTGACGTGCCATTCTTGAAATCAAACACATACATCGACATGTAAGTGTTACAGGCAACGAGGATTGAATCATTGAACTTGGCGAGCTTCTTGGTGGCCAGCTCGACGACGTTTGAGAATTGCTTCGAAACGGCTCATATGTGCCAAATGCTATGTGTCTTTCGCCCTAAGAACACAAGCATCGGCTTGAGTAGATCGACCTGGACATTGACCTTAAAAGCATTGACATCCTTGGGCTTGGACAGCGTTGCCGAGGAGTAAGCTTGCATCACGATTGCGGGATGCGGAATGGACGCACCGTCACAAATTTGTTTGATATATTTTTATAATTTAGGTGCGTAATGCCGATTGTTCCATTGCAAACGGGAACGATATGATGGCCGACACCGATGGCCAATATGCTTTATAGCAATTCACATGATATAGTCAATAGCCTACTCAAATAACCTTCTTTCTTTACTCTGTGTTTATGATTCTAGTACGCCACATGCCACACATCTGATGATGCCATCAAAACTGCTAATGACCGTCATTGTAACCATCTTTAGTTAGTTAGAACAAAACGAGAGGTTACTCTAAATGTTGATATAAATACTAGTCATAATTGTCACGTCAGCGATCCGCTCGCTTGGTAGGTAGAGAGTGGATGCGTTAGTTGACAGTGCCACATCAGCAATCAGTGTGCTTGTAGGTAAGGATTGAGTGTGTTAGTTAGGAGCGACATGTCAGCGATTCGTGTGCTTGTTAGGGTTATCCGCCACGTTATCCATCCACTAGGAGTGGGATGGATGATGAGGATAATATCTTATCTTCTTGTACTTGTTGGTGAGAGCTATATAAGAGAGAGTTGAACCATTATTGGTATCTCTCATCTTCATAGTTTACGTTTATATCTTCGAGTGAACTTCTCTCTACATCCTAGTGTTACAGCCATTAGCAATTTTGCGTCTCCATATTATAAATAGACACCATGACGTCCCGTCAACCCAAAAACGGATTCGTATTCAAACCGTGCTTGCAGATCTAGGACCATACCCGCCCATACCCTACAAGTATGGGCGGATACGGTTCGGTTTTCGAGTTCGAGTATTCAATGTTATACTCTGTTCACTATGTATGCAACTAGGAAAGAGCTAGAGAAATAAGTAGTTCAACTATAGATACATTTATAAACTCCTATAGACCTTAATTTGCACTTATTCGCAGTTGAAAGCGGAGGAGTAATAATTACCTTCAAAAACCGTTTTATGTGTAGGACATATAAGTACATTACAACAAGTACTTTATCATAAGGAAGGAAGATCTATTGAAACTGAAATTTCAATAAAGGTAGACGGTCTAACTCTAATATGATAGATTTACAAGTAAAAAAAGAGTAGAACTTTTCTACTACTTTTGAATTCAAAACAACTGAAATATGTTTCAATATCAACTTTGAAGGAAATTTATTTTTATTCTTAAATATCTGCCTATATGCAATCATAGATAAAAACGGAAAAAACATTAATGAGAATGACAAACTAGAAATTAAAAAGTTAGTATTGTAGTCTATTTGATCTAAGATAGTCTACTAACAAAGATTTTTGGCTCTATGTCAAATCTCATGTATGTTCGGAGTCATTGGGCTCCATGATAAAGCAAAAGAGTTCTATGATGTTTATATAAAGAATCATGAAAGAAACATGATATGATTGCAGATAATTGAGAAGCCTATCCAAGCCCAATTCGGGAAGAGACTATAAATGATGCCACTTGTAGCATAAGATTTATGTATGCAATACATCTTTGACAAGAGCAATATCTAGATTCCGCGAGAATTATATTTATCATATAAGAATTTGAACTTAATTGAAATAAGTAGTAGAAGAATGAAAGATGTCACATTTCAACGAAAGGAATAACATTTAGGATCACTAACATCCTTGACTCTCTAAATACGGAAATTTGTGTCATAGATTCCGTATATTTTTCTATTCGCTGCTTTGAGTTTCCTTATTTCAAGAAAAATTTATATAATAATTTTTAAATTAAACAAAATATAAAAAATGATAAATTATCATTTTTTGAGTCCGCCATGCTGTTTAAGAACCTTAAACCTATAAAGTGTTTAGGTTTCTGCAATATTGTTAAACTGCAATTTTGGTCATTTGTTGCATTCTTGAACTCGAATGGATTCAGTGCAATCCATGGGAGCACAGAATATTTCGTCTCCCCATGGTATCTTGTGATACTCAATCCTCCGAAATCGTTGCTGTTTTTGATCAGTTCTGTCTATGTGAAGATTCTTAAAAAAGTTCGCTAAGATCTGGGACATTTGGTGGTGGTACTTTCAAAATCGAGAACTAGACGCATCATCTTCTCATCCAACATCAAGTCAGATGATATCAAAAGCTCTCACTTGAGGAAAAATTAAAGTATTATGATGTTTTTGTCAGACATGCCAAAACTATTGAAACCACACGTGATGAATCATACAAGTTCTAACATTTTTCTTCTTTGCTTACCTAGGGAACTTAGAGCGTTGAAAGCATGGATATTGTTCAAATAATTTAGATTTTCAAGATCTTTTATCAATTTTTTGGCAACAAAATGCCATTGATAAAAAGTGAACAACACAATCAGCTTTTGGTGATTGTTGAACGCGCACCTTGAACAATGACTCGCAATGCCGTTATTGCTTTAAACCGCGACTAACCAAACAATCTGACTTCAATGAATCTTGGAGTATTACAAGCATTAAGTATAGTTCACTCAACTTATCAAGTTTCTTGGAATATCAGACTCTTCTCAGATCTTTCCAAACACTCTGCCACTGTATGAAGGGACTCAAGTAACTTCACTAAGTTCTTTATATATGGATGCAAATAAGAGAAATTACGAGGGGATGTGCAATTACATTGCAATCCAATCATGATGAATATGTAGGTTTGCTTTAATGCGTTCGAAAGTTTCAATACGTATAACTTAAAAGTGATACACTGAAAGGTATGACACCATATGCAACCAAGCAAGTTGAATCACATGTATTTGAACGCTAACCACGACCACATTAATTATGAAAGAATCCAATCCCATACCGCTAGAGTCCCAACCTCAACCAAGCAAATTGCAATTCGCACAGTTGCGTATCCACCATCATCCACCAGTCATTGTGAAAGGAGATCAAACCCCGCGTCACACACCGCGGTATAGATCACACGTCATCACTAAACCATCATAACGAAGTATTCCCATCAAGTGGACTCAATTGAATTATCGAAGCTCGAGGGAAACCAAGAACAATGGGACTTCAAACGGGGAAACAAGCACAAATCCCTTAGGGCACGAGATATTTCGCAGACAAACAACAGTAGCAAGAACTTGTATTTCCACGGGTCATCTTTATTCAAACAAGCACAACCCTCGTAAGAAGAGAATGCACTGACAAACATGATGCCTAAAAATGGATAAGATTGCCAACAAACGAGCTATGTAGGCGAGAATCTGCTGCCAGTCCGTAGGTCTCGGCAATCCGGCCTCGCTGGACGTGGCTCGATTGGCAACTGAAGTAGATGACATCTCAAATGCCGATGCTGGAGGAGAGTGCGGGGAGTTCGCGGGGTCAAGGAAATGCGCGAGGTTCTCTATTCGACGTCGTCCTGTTGAACTGGAGTACGAGGGCTCAGTTCGGTCGTTCAAATGTGAGCTGACCTAGGCCGAGACGATGGCTGCGGAGGGATCGACCGATTCGAGTGTGAGCAGGCAAAGAGATGGGGATGGTATTCGACAGTACTATCTGGCAGTGGACCGTGTGCAGTTCAAGATGGGAACGCTGGTGGATTTATTGAAGGTTTTAGGGAGGAGGGCGGGGCTTCCTGTGGCGATCTGCGTTGGTGCACGAGATAGTTTGGATGCAGTGTGTGACACCGTGGCCGCGTCCGACCAATTTTCAGTGAGCTTTTTGCATAGCGATCTTGGTGACAGTGAACGAGCAGCGGCTCTGGAAAGTTTTCAAATGGCCATGTCACAGTGGAATTACGACAACATTGAGCAAACAGAGGAGGAAAAAGCCCTAGAAGCCGAGGCCAGAACGTTCAGGTCCCAGGTATTGGTGATGACGGATGCTTCTCTACCATCACATACATTGGGCGAGTCTCCACTTCTTGCCAGAGTGATGATCAATTTTGACCTTCCATCCAAGAAGGAAGCCTACTCGAGGCGCATGTCTGCATGTTTTGGCTCTCCTGCGTTCAGCTCCAACAGTGGCAGTTTCAGCAGTGGCTTGTTCGCAGGGGGCCTTGTAATCAATGTGATGATTGGCGGTGAGGTCAGCATGCTTAGGAACATCGAAGAGAGCTGTGGAATTGTGATCGATGAAATGCCCATCAACATCTCCGAGCTCGTATGAAGAGAGTCTTGTGGATCTTTTTGCGTAAACGGATGGTGCAGAGATCATGACCACCTTGACTCCAACCTGGGTGGAATTTAAGTTCTGCACTGCGGGTGGTCGAGGAGTGACAATGATATTAACATGTTTTTTCAGGATACGAACCAGTTCTAAAACCCCAAGTATAACAATCAGAGCCCTTAACTTTACGGTCCCAGGTAGTTTCAGCCCCCGAATACAACTGTGGGGAATTCTTGTGACGGGCTGTCTTAAACTGCCCGTCTTTACTGCAATGGCATGTTGACCAACACGCTGTCAAGACGCACGAAATCAACGACAGCCATGTACTATAATTTGTTCATTCAACTGTGTACAGATAGACCTCCGCTTAGTTGAAGCGGGTTCTAACAGCAGCTAGTTTTGAGGGAGTATGGTCTTCGAAAGGGTTAGTTAAGCTCTGTCTTCCACTTTGTATGACAGTGATTTTGCCCCTCGTGTCTGGAAAGCTGATGCGTTTCTCTCCTTATCGTTATCAATTGAGATGTGTGATTTTAGAATATATTTTCAAACACGACATTTGGATCCCCGGTGATTAATGTCTTGAAGCTTTGCCTGTTTGTCAAGAATCTCAACTCAAACGATGATGGTCAAATCTGATCTCGGAGGTGTTTTTTTTGCATTCTGAACTATATGACAAATTACCATGTCGATTAGATGGACAGCAACTTTTACCTCGTTCAACTTTTTTTCATGATGGCATACTTTACCGTTTCCTAGTTCAAGGTAGTTTTTTGGTGCCATCACCGGAAATCCATTTTTCGGGTCTGCATCCTCTCAAGCAAACAAACGACATATCACAACCCCTGAGAAGGACTAGCTAGGAAGACCCCATTTCCACCCTTGTTTCTAAGTAAGATTCTCGCTATCTGATTCGAACTGATTTTCAACAAGATAGAGATCTTGGGTCTGACGTGTTTGCCGTTCCACCAAGCGAGTCTATTCTTTTTGCTCCATTTTTCTAAAGCAGTGTCCTATGGGTCTGAGTAAGTTCACCAAGGCGACCCACAAGTGCACGGGCGAAAGGGACTTTGTTTTGAGAAGACACATCTAAGACAAGGTCATAGGCAGGCCTGTGTAGATTAGGCATATGCCATTTGCGCCTAATCTAAGTATATTAGGCACATATTCGTAATGTAATTAGGCATCAATTAAAAAAAGATCTGAGACTAACATTCTATCGATTTTAATTCAATTTTACATAGTAGTGATTCAATTTTAGCAAGATCTTTTAGAAAAATTATTCTAAATTGAACTTATTTTATCAAATTCAACCAAAATTTCTCACAAAAACAAGACATAAAAAATTTCCTATCTAAATAAATTTCTCTCAATCCCTTGTTTAGACGAGTGTATCTATTTTCCCCCATTTGTCCAAATCCCAAGTCTGGGGCCTCAGCTTGATCCACTACATGAAATTTTTTGATATGTATCTTGCCCATGTACAATCACCATTATCTGAATGACTTTTACTTTCTCGGTCTCTATGAGCTATCGTAACAGATAGCATATTGGCGAGGTTACGTATAATCACGAGAATGATTCTTGCATGTATCTTAAGCAGGAATTTTTTCAAAAAACATTATCTCCCTATTTTATTGCTTCAAGGTGCGTAACATATCATACTTCTTGTTTTATTGCTTGAAGGTGCACAACATATCATACTGTTTACATTGGAAAAATATTTATAAAGAAAAATCAATAAGTGACCTGTTAAATTTGTTTTTTTTTTAATTTCAACATTGAGAATTCACTCTCAACAAGCTTTGTATACGGAAACAATGAACCCAATCTACTGACGAAATCTACTAATACGTTAGATCATTTTGCTATTTAGCCATTTGGAATTTTTCTTTCTGAAACTATTCGAAAAATAATTTGGAGATTAGACACGCAACAGATTTGAAATTAAGCATCTATTTTCAAAATGACTAATGTACAAAGGCATGGTCATAGGTATTACACGTGAAGTAACAATGATCCAAACCCTCACCGTCCACCACTTAAGACCGGAACCCTGATCAATGTCCGACCAGAAAGACCAACCATGAACTTTGTATTAGTTCAGAATTCTGAAATCTGAACCACCAGTACGACTTTTGTAGCTACTAAACCAATCAAGAATTAGTTGAAAATCTCCTTTTCTCTTGTTTGCTACTTACCAACGATCGCCTAAAATGAAAGTAACAACTAATTTGAATTTTTAATGGACAGGCAGGATTGCTAGACATCCTAATCCTTCTCTTGTATTTATAGCAGGGCACCTATATTGCATGGTGATCTATGCAACAAATTACAATAAAAATGTGGTATTTTTTCAACAGAAATTTATATGAGACAATTCTTTTCAAATGATGTTGAACTTCATTGTTATTGCCTCTTTATGCATCTAATTACAGTGAAAGATTCATCACCTGCTGGTATTCATCATTTGAAAGTAATATAATAATTATTTTATTTTACATTATGATTCTTTTTGGTTTCTTATAAGTTCTGATGATGAGATAATATGTGACTAATTTACTAGTATGTATGTAATATAAACTAGTAAATTTTAAAAGTTGTTGTGTTTCTTGCATAAAGATTTATTCTTTATATCATGCTCATACTTGCTAAGTGATATTTATTTATTTATTTATTTATTTATTTATTTATTTATTTGAGCAACAATTGTCGATTTAAGATAATGATCACATGCAATTGAATTAATTATATTTCAAATTGACAGTAACTAAGATTGAAAACTAACTACATTGATATATAAAAAGAGATAGTGAAGTAAAATTTAAAAATTGAATTTCATATATGTTAACCAAGTGTCTAAAAAAATAAATGCATATTCAAAGTTGAAATTAAAAAATACATATAAAAAATCCAATTTTCAAAAGAATTTCTGAAAATTTTAACAGCTAAACTATCATTCACCAAAAATATAAGAAAAAGGTTCAAGAACCAGACTTTTAACTGACATATTTCATGTTGATTAGTATAATTTCTTGCACTTTATTTTAAATATATGTAAAGATTATATTCTAAACCATTTTTCTTTATCAAAACGAGTATGATGAAATGATTTGAAAATAATATGTACTGTGTATCATGTAACTTTCAAACTTTGAATCAAACTTGACGTTTGTGCAACTATTTGTATCATATCAATGTGGGTGAAAACTATATGATTGTGGTTTGTTATTATGATATATGTTATGTGACTCATCTATCTTCAATACAATATGAAATGAGTCATAGAGATATACTGAATCATGCATAACTTATAACGCGATGTTACAAGTTCCTATATAACAAATAAATATCAAATGATTTTGTATGCTATATCAAGTAAGTTCTACTGATTTAATGGTTTGGTCCTTACATCATAAGAATATAAATAGATTGTACATAGATTATCATCAATAGAAATTGTATCATCTATCTTATACATCAAGATTCTTTAATCTAACTTTACCCTCTAAATCATGAATTTGTTAAATGTCATGTCAACACTTACTACATTATTTGATGTAGAGTTTGCATCTGTTATGTTAGTGCATATTAAATTGTGATAAACGCTGGTCATTTATTCATTTTGTTATTGTCAAATAAAAAGTATCAATACAAGCATCGTCTGATATTAATACAAGTGCCACATTAGATCCTCTCCTTTCTCATAGTTTTGACCGTTACAAAGTCTACTTGAGATTTTGAGGCTGTCATTTTATTGGACATTAGCTAGTGTCTAAACACGAAATCAATGGAGTTAAGTGTATTTTCCTTTTGGACACTTCAGAAGTCAAAAAGATTTTTAATTTTTTTAAAAACCACAATATGTAATATCTTTATCTCTCTTCACTTTTTCACCCATCTAAATCTTCCAACATTACTTTGCATCCACACTAGAGTAGCAGTGACATCATGAGATGTTCATCTTCAATAAGAACAAAATCCAATGTCAATCTTGTACATGTTGAATTCAATAAAGTGTGATATTTTCTAGCAGCGATGTAGATGTCAAAGCCGGCTAGGGTTCTTGTAACATATCATCTCTTCCTTAGAGCAATCTCAGCTTCGATTGAAGTATATTCATAAAGAACTGTATTTGGCAAGAAACTAAACTCAATCTCCAGTGTATCACCTGAAATTCACCGGAAACTGATTTGATCTCTGGTGGATCTGAGGTTTGGAGGAGGTGGCAGAACTGGCCGCCTATATAGAGGTAGACCGAGAACGGTTACCGGAGATAGAACCCTATTCAAGGTACAATCAGATCGTGCCGCACAATGGCCCGCTAACCTTGCAAAAAAATTTGTTTAAGGCGAATCGATGGGTATCAGGAAATTTAGCAAAAAAACTATTTTTCACCAAAACGTTCCAGCGGCAGAACTTTGAAATTTATGTTCCCGCAACACTTATTACAGAATGCTACAGCAAGAAAATCGAAGACGCAGATAACACTGTCGACGAGATTGGCACAGATGCAGAGAAGAATATCCACGAGAAGAACGACGCTACAGACTGGGGGATCGAAGGGACCGACGTTACGATTCAAGTGAGCTATCATGAGCAGCTCAGCCGAAGATAGAACTATCTGAGAGAAAAGATGAATGGGACTACCTCAGGAAACTAGAACAGAAGTAAGATCTATTAAAGCTCAACCAGCTAAAATGATAGGTGATATGATATCACCTATCATTTTAGCTGGTTCATATCATTTAAACATATCATTGATATGTTTAAATCGACAGAACGCAGCAATCAGAATTGAAAATCGCTTCCAAGTACCCTGAATTGATTCCTTAAGAATAGTCAAATCCTTTCGTGGCTGTTATTTCAACATCCACAAGCCGCATTTGAAAATAAAATATGAGCTTTTACTAAGAAATTTTTCTTATACTGTGCGGAATTCCACATTAAAAATGATGACATATGGTTTCTTTTTGGGGTTAAAATTATATAGTTTTCTGTGTAACATGTTCTAATTTACGAAATCTTTTTGTGCATGAATCTAGGGCTAAAAAAATTATCAGAAAAAATTCTTAGAAATATATTCTCGCAGGTCAAAAGTATTATTTACAGGAACAAATTTTTCCAAATAAAATACATGAGCACGTTTACTTGTCTGCGTAGTCAATAAAGCTCAAAGTAGATGGAAAAATTTATAATAAAAATTTCAAAGTTTATTTAAAGGTGATATTGGATCTGGAGATATCAATGGTTTATGTAAAAAATATGAATTTAGGTTATTGACATGATAATAAATACAATCTATTTATTTTCTCTCCCTGGGACTAACTTTTCATTCATTAAGTGGAAATCTGCTGTTTTTATCTTTACGTACAAAGGTACCGAAAACTTGTTGAGTGCATTACTAACTAGACATAGTTGCAATAATATTGGAATGACTATAGTTTAAACGCTTTATGAAAGATTTATCTTTTGTATCTCTGAATACAAAAAGCGTTGCGTTTCTATCAACAGTGGAGAAATTTCGAGTTACATTACGAAAAGCTTCTCGTGAAAGTAAGTCGTTACTCTTGCAAAAAGAATACAGATATGCAGAAATAGATGGGAATATTCTTGCTTACGAATAACGGACATCATACGGGTGTGAATACTTACGCCGTGAACGTAGGCAGTACCGTGAGAATAGTGTGAAGGCCAGTTGTTGCCAGGTTACATTTTACCGCAAGCGCAGGTTCACCGACTAACCGCAGAGCCTTGAATTGTCGTCGAGACACACCAGAGGCACACGAGGTGGACAGTACGGTTAGTACTTGGTCCCTGGAGAGTATTCCACCCCACGTAAAATTGCCGAGCCTTCTCTTGGGGTCCGGGAGCTTGGGAAGAAAATGGCGGGAGCTCCGAATTCCGCCGTGCCCACAAGGCAAAGGTGACGGCGCCAGTGTTCTGGATCCGACTGGAGTGTACGTTCAAGTTCACGAGGTTTGCGCATGGCTGTTCAACGTTCGTGAGCCTCATAGCCGTGTCGGACGACCGATCCCAAGCAGCTATAGAAAGGCCGTAGGCCGAGTACGATGGCGTCGAAGAGCTTGCTCGGTTGCTGCAACTCTTCGACTCCATCTCGGCGTCCTTCGACACGACGAGCTCTCGGTTCTTTGCAGTGTAAAGTCTCATCCCTCGGAGTCTTGTTTTCAGGAAGAATGCAGATTTGCAGACTCCCGGGAGTTGTGGTTTCTCGCTCGGTCACGCTTGTGTAGTGTAGCCCATTGTGGAAGCTCGTATCCTTTGTTGCGAATCTTTTGCTTCGTGTGTGAGACACTAACCCTGGAGCTCTATCTTGTTTTGGAGGTCCGTCTCAGAATGGGAAGCAAATCCGAGAGATGGGGGAGTCCCGCCTTCGTCGTCCTGTGCACCTTGTGCATCCTATTTCGTGCAGCCGTCGGCAGCTCCACGACCTCACCTTCGTGGACTTCCGTCTCAGACCCACGAGTCTGGCAAGAACCGGATGGTTTTCAAGCTTGGCTTCAGTATGTTCATCGGACATCTGATCTAGCTTCCGATTGGGCGACGCATTCGAAGCTTGACACTACGGATGTGACACCTTTGGGTGGACCCAATGATGACGAGCAGACGAATTCCACGGAACATAATTTGCTCCAAGTAAAGAGAAAAATCGTCGTCGACCAATCTGGCAAAGGAGACTGCCGAACTATCAAGGAGGCTATAGATCTCGTACCACCTCAAAATAGGGAGCGCATAGTCATTCACATACGACCAGGTGTCTACAGGTGTGAATCGTTGCTATGCCCTCTCAGTTATCCGTTGTGTTATTTCAGCAGCGTGAGACTTCTGGATGTATTGAGCGTTAATAAAAGAGAATAGAATGTTCGTCACACCAACACCTTCAGCATGAGATAGGGCCGAGGTCTTCTCCCTTCTCCCGTCCTTTCCTCGTGGCATCTTTACTTGACGTGCGAATCTGTAAGTTCCGTGGGCAAATTTGTGTAAATGTGCAGGGAGAAGGTTAAAATTCCGAAGACCAAGCCATACATCACTTTCGAAGGTTACAGCAACAACCAGACGATCATCACATACAACTCTACCGCAAGTGATCCGAAGTCTAAAAAACATCACACGTACTTACGGACCTACAATAGCGCAACAGTGGCTGTAAATTCTAAGTATTTCGTTGCCGTGAACATTGTCTTTCAGGTACGGCTGACTAGCTAAAACTCGATGTATTGAGCTTCAAATTTAGACGGCGTAGAGAAGGAAATGATTCTGAAACAATGTCTTTCGGTCGGATGAGTCAATAACCAGTCGCCATTCGCTTTCAACTTTAAGTCGATCGTAAGATGCATTTTGACACTTCTAGTCCTTACATTAAGAGGCAGAATATCTATGTATTACATGCTCTCAATTGTAATTCGTTAGTAACTGTGTCTCCCCTGATAGCGTGATGGGAGAAAAATAGTTTACCAACTCTGTAGTTGAAATATGCGAAAGTAGACGGGTAGTTAGAAACTTCCCGGTGGTCAATATCCGGGAACTGCAAGTACGTAGATGTCATTCTTTTTTCAGATTTCTATATCTGAAAATCCCATTCAAGCCAGATTCTGAGATCTATATCTGACAATCTCATGGGACTAGTTGTGATATGAGGCGCTTGCCAGGCGCGCCTGACGAGTTCTTTGAGTCGACGGTTTATTGTGTTTTCCCATTGAGCAAGTGCTGAATAAGGTGCAATAAGTTATCGGCCGTCTCGCGAGCCGTCAAATTTCAGAAACTGTTGACTGTTAGATTGTGGCTGGTGCAATGCCACAAGGTATGGACTAGGAAGAAAATGTATCCGTTCATCAGTAGTTTTAATCGAGTTTTGAATGACTTGAAAAATTTCACCCGTTGTATCAACGGAAATGTCCCTAGAGAAACGAACATCTGAAAGTAATTATATGAACGACAGGACACAAGCGGCAGTAGGTACATGTATGGAACTCTCATGGGGATAACCCCAGCAAAGCTCAGTAGGTCCATTTCAGCATTTTACAGCTTCCGTGACCCGATGAGTATTTGGAAATAGTTGATCCTCAGAATCTGGTCTCGTGACTGTTTCAGCGCACTGTAAAATGTCGATGTCCGAGCTTCGTAGTTTACGTACTCTGTTGAATATCATATACATCCTGCGTAGATGTAGAAATATGAATGTCTCGCATCTCGAAGCATCCCTGCAATCACTAAGATTGGAATCGGATTAAGAAACGTGTAGATGCGCTAGAGGCTGATTTCAGATGTTATTATCGGGAAGAATTGTGTCTAAGATTACATTCTTCAGTCAAACTTTGTTGTTCCTACTTTTCAAAGACCGGAGAAATGTATACCGAGAAGAATAGAATGATTTGACTGAAATCTCCTTCGTTGGAATCTTTGTAGAACTCGGCGCCTGCACCACCTCCCGGCTCTATTGGTAAACAAGCTGTGGCATTTCGCATCAGCGCAGACATGGCTGCCTTTTACAATTGTCAGTTCCTCGGATTCCAGGATACTTTGTATGATCACCACGGCCGACACTACTTCAAGAACTGCTATATCGAAGGCGCGGTAGACTTTATTTTTGGAAATGGAAGATCTCTGTACAAGGTAAATCACAAACTTCCTGCGTTCGTTATTTCGTTGAACAACGAATCTCGAAGTGACGAAGAACAGTTTACTCGTTGATCTGAATCTGTTGTTCAAACTTGGCGGGTGCGGCCTGTGGACCTAATTACTCGCCACACATGCTGCATCCTTGGTGAAGTGTATTCGTTCACAGTGTCGACGCTGTCGAATGGTCGCATGAGACAGCCTCGACAGGTTACGTCTTCTGCAGTCCTCGGTCTTGTCCTTTTGATTATTTACCTTACTTTACTTTCTGATATAACAGTGTCAGCAAGTACGGACGAGCGGGTTTGCATATCCTTACTTGACCACTAACAGGCAACCTAAGGGCGGCCATTATAAATTCTGCTTGTTAACCAGGTCTTAGGACGTAATAGCATCTCGATTGCATACTGCCTATCGAATATCTGACCGAATCTCTCCCGGGACTTTGCCTGGACTCTACAGAACTGTGTACTCAACGCTCTGAACAACTCCGGTATTCCAGGGTCATTGACGGCTCAAAAACGAAATGACACAACTTTAGACACGGGATTCTCATTTGTGGATTCTTACATAAGTGGTTCTGGACAAGTCTATTTGGGACGAGCTTGGGGAAACGACTCACGCGTTGTATTCGCTCGGAGTTACATGGACGATGTTGTGCTTCCGGTTGGCTGGAACGATTGGGGCTCCGAAGGTCGTGAAAGGTAACTACTTGGACTGTCCATTCATTGTTGCATCGTAAAACGTTCTACCTCTCGGAAGAAAGAAGAGGATCAAATGCACGTGGAGTGTTTTGTTCATCTCACGCCTCGTGAGTCTTGGAACCATCGTAACTTCTCAGAGTAGGTCAACCAGTCTAATCTATAACCAGTGAAATTCGATTTGCCCCACTCTCTGGCCTTTTGTTTAGACATGTCAGCACATGTCGCATGGGTGAGGTTGTATGCACTTCTTTCAGCTAGTCACAAGTACTGCCTTCACATCTCTCGAGCAAATGCAGGACGTCATACTACGCCGAATACAATTGCTCGGGACCTGGAGCCGTTACTAGCGGACGCGCACCATGGGCTCGAGTTCTGACGGAAGACGAAGCCAAACCGTTTCTCTCGATGGACTTTATAAACGGAAAGAGATGGTTGCCGAAGGCTGAGATAACCCAATAAAAAGTACCGGAGAGGCTTCGTGCGCATGGGTTCAGACGAGCAGTAGATTCTGATCTAGAGTATTTTGTTCGGGGTTAGTTGTCCTAGTCTTGTTGTGCAAGGTGCTAGCGAGGTTGCGAGAGAGCTGCAAGCACTGCAAAAACAGAGCGGACAGTGTGTGAGGAAACGTTACTTTGCGTCACTTTGTGTCCTACAGTATGATGATATAAATTGATGGAGTGGATTCGAGAGTGAGACGCGTGTTGTGTACCCTCTGGCAGTCTCTGTCCGACTCTATAATCTTGGAGGATGGCGTTGTAATCTTCATTGCACTGGTTTGTGGAAAGGTCTGATTACAGAGGGGACGGTCTCTGCAAGCATAATTGTGACCAATCTACGCAACGTCTCAACAACAATTCAAATGGGAAGGAATAGAAAACTTCATGCATGCAAAAAGCGACCATCTCCATCAACGATGACAAATTAATAAACAATGTTTTGTGACAAAAAAATTTAGATGATAATTTCAGCTCAAACATTCCTTATATCGCACATATTCCCAAGAAAAAATATTGCCCCAAATACAATCTCATACCTATAGATTATCATTCTATCGATATACTTCATACTTTGATTCATTTACTCATTGCATAAGTTGAACGTGGTTTCAATTTTCACTTGGCATTAAATATGCAAAAGAAATATCTGTTTTGCTTTCTTTGATAACACTTTTCTTCAATCTCATACTCAAGTCGTTCCTGCTTATAAAGTTTGAAAGATAGAAAATTTTATGATATAAGAAAGCGTTTGGTTTTTATTATTTATGAGTTTTGATTATTTCTAAAATCAAATGAACTTCGACTGATTTTTTATGACTTTAAACTTAAAATTTACATTCCTCATGATGCAATCTTCGTACAGTGATTCAAAGTGTTTGAAGAAGTATAATAAATTTTATAAAGATTATAAATATAAAGTAAGATTATATTATATCAATATTAAATCATAATCAAATTTTTTGACAAATATTCACAAGTAGTTTTTTAATGACTTTGCCAAATAGTAATGAAATTTATATAAACTTAACCATATTGTAATCATATATTGATATTTTTCATTGCAGATGTGAATTATGTCAAAGAGTTGCGATTTTGAAGATGAAAAGAGATATACTATGAGGTGTTTATAGCATAAAATTTTCTTTTGTGATAATCATAGCTACATCAATCTACTTAGCCCATCACATCATTTATGATTTCAGATGTGTTTCTATGAGATTATTATTCTATAAATGATAACCAAAATGATCATGAATTGTGTTACATAAGTGGAAAGTGCAATCTTAAAAATATGTGTTGTGTAGGATATCATCCAAAGCGTCCTGATTTTTTTTATATACTTCATGCTGTACCAATTGAATCATGGAGTTGATTAACATTTCAATCATGTTTTCTTTCAAGATTATCTAAAATAAGAAATTTGTACCCAGACGTTTTTGTGACTTACATGACAAGGGGACGGTTATCATTCAATAAGTAGTGGCATGTCCTTTTTCATGATCTAGAGATCCTTATATTTAGAGTAGATTATATTGAACATAATATTGGACTTTATTGTGATATTGATATTTTAAAGTAATATGTTTTAGGTTTTATATTTAACTACAAGGCACTAATACTACTTCATTAGAATGATGTAAAGAGTTATGACATATCAGGAAATATAGCATACTACATTTGCCCTTCATCCTTAACCTATGTATTGCTTTTTAACACAAGATACTATTTCTGCTGTTTTCTTTCTATATCTATCTATTAGAAGAGTAAATTCAGTACCACTTCTGTAGATGTCAATGAGAGAAATCACTATGTCTTGATAAAAAAAATCAAAATTATTAATTTCTACTTATAACTTCATTTTTATCTACAAATGACTTATAATTTACGTTATATGAGCAACCTTAGGAAAGTTTTCAAGATGATGACAATTTTAGATTTCATTAAGTTGTTGTTTGTGCGTTGCTTCAGTTGTAAGAGTTAGATGGTTGGTGACTAAAATCTAATGGCCTCATGTATATACATTAAGCATTTTTAATTGATTGCTACTGAGTAGATATTATTGCGACTTATTATAGTACTTTTGTGGTTCTGTAACATTTCTGTAACATTATTCGTATTACAAGATGCATATATGTCTACACTACTGTTGAGTTATCATGTCAATAGATTGTGAGACATTATATTTATAGAATTAAGCTTTCTAGATATATGTATGCATATATTTTCTTGAAAATAACCAACAGATTTTATAATATAAATATATGTATATATGTATATATGTCCTAGAAATCAGAAAGAAGTTTGAAATTTTATCCAAGACTAATAAATTTTTATCATTTTATGATTCACAATCTTTCTTGTCATATGAACATGACTTTTACATGAAACATTCAAAATTCAACAAGAATACATCCAAAGTAATCTTGGTCTGTCATAGCTCTAAATTTATTTATTCCATCATTTCAAGTTTGATACTTACTCTTTAGCTCATGATTATGCATTATATTTTCACATTAAACATGTATGTGATAACTACGCTTCATCTTTATATGTCATTGCATAGTAGTTACTCTTTGAAATATTATACACCTTACTTGCAACTTTTTTTTCTGGAGTTGCATGGTATCAATTAATAATTTTAGTGTAACATTACTATGAAAATTTAAATTCAAGGATGAGGATTTTCTTCATATAATTTAGATTTTTCAGCTGATAAAAGTATTTTGTACAAAGATAATGTTTATATATCAAAGGATTTTTTTTGTTCTAACCGTAATTTTTTATTTATTTGAAATATTGCAAGGTTTTTTAAAATAATAAATTACTACAAATATATAATAATATTAATTTTATCGAAAGTAACTAAATATTAAAAATTATATATCTTCCAACTCTTTTGGACTTTGAAATTTATTCTATATTAACGCATATTTATTTTAATTTAAGACCAACATAAAGTCAAATGTAGAAGAAAAATGGTTAAACGTAAGAATTGTATTGAGTGATGAGATATGCAATATAAAGATTTGAGAAAATTTTAAAATTTTACTTTTTCATTTTCGAAATCATATTCCTTGATAGATAAAAAAATAATTATTAAAGAAATAACCTTATTTGATTAAGATGTTGTGTCAATTTAATGTTCTGCTGTGAAGTAGCAAAAATCCGCTGGCATACGTATCGTTAGCACATAGACGATCTTGAAAATTGAGATATTTTAGGTGAAACGACAATTTGTACTCTTGATTTCAGCAATCTAAACTATGAAAACTTTGGATGTAGGATTTGAACACATAATGATTCATTGTAAATATATTGATTCAGACAAGTTTGTCTCTGTATATCAAATGTTAAATTTTTAGAGATGTGGACAGAGTTTGCTTGTTTGAATCCGCAGAAGACAATTCTCAACTTCAGGCACCCTCCAAGTTACCTCATAGTGTTTGACCCTACTGGGTTGATTAGTTTATTATCTTCGGAATCAGTCCAATTTGCCAAATAAATTCCTACTGTTCACCATCAGCTTTCTATTTTGAGTTAAATGCAAATTTGTCAGGCGCTCGCCGCGATCACGTGTGAGGCAGACTATACTTTCCAATCAACGGATTCTCTCAAAGATATTGAGGGTACGCAAAGTGGTGAAGAGTCAACGACATTTCGTCCTGCCTTCACTGCGAAGCTTCATTCCAAGACTTTCCGAGCAACAACACGATACCTGCTCCTCGAACTGACATCAATTGAAGTCAAGAGGAGAATTCTATCCAACTTATTCACAAGCTAGTTCCTGTAATCCATCCACATGGAATCTACTGACACGAGGGCGTGAAACGACCTTGAAAGTTCTGCTGAACGCCCAGAAAAGAATGTCACATCTAGTCATCTGCAATTCGGAGCAGGAGTCACTGCCATACCACTCCCTAGCACCCAAGTCTCGATGTAAACGACGAGTGTCATCATGAAAGCCTGCCCTTCCCCGAGAGGATGAATTTGCTTCGCCCTAGGCAGGCCTACTTGCTAGAAACATGACCACGCCCGTTTTCCATTCACCGTGATGAATCCATCTTCGAGCAGGTGAGTGCACTGGAAGAGCCAAGCAAGGCGCAGTGCGGTCAATTAACTAACCGTCCTGCCATCTCTGCCAGGTCGGTCCACATCAGCAACATCTGAGAGCGCGAAAAAAAATCGGATTTTTGACTTAGCAATTCAATCGGTTCCAGCTTTTCTATCCAAGTCCACCCGTACAGTCCATCCGAAGATGGGCAGGTCGAAGATTATAGCAGCCATTGCTAACCGCTGGGCACCAAGGAGGGAAGTCTCCGATCCTCAAGTACTGGAATGCGCTGAGCAGTCGCCTCACTTCTTCCACGAGTCGCAAGAATTGTTCTTCCGCACCTCTCTCCCGTGGATTGCAGCCTCTCGAACTAATGCATATTTACATAACATCGCCCTAGTAACATCTTCCGAATCCTCTCGTTTCGCCCCACCTTATGCACAAACCCGATAGAACCGCATTCTCCGTACCCACATCGTCTTTCACATCAGAACACCTGCCACCCGAGGCTCCATCCACGTACAGTCGCAAATGGTAAAAATGACCTGAAACTACACACGAATTTCGCATCAGCGCTACGGTGAGAATCTTGGACGTCGAATCATCGTCCAGTCTCAGAACGCGTCACTGTAAGCAGCACCGTTTGCACGATGCGGTGCCCTACGATGTGAAAATTCCGGATCCCGGCATGGACTGAGTGAATTCCGAGGCGCTGCTGCAGAGTTGCTGTGCGCAGACCTCGGCACCTGCAAACAAGTCATCGACGAATCCACCCAGCAAGAAAGCGCACAGAGCTAGAGTGAGCGCCGCGGTGAGGGGAAGAATTGCAGTAATCTTGGCCGACAATGACGACGACGACGACGAGGGCGGCGGCGGCGACGACGCCCTCCCGCTTGCTCCGAGCTGGTCCGTGGCCTGCGGTAGAGAAGAATGATTCGCACTACTGACGAAGCTCCACTGACTCACGACATACTTGCTCGTGCCCACGCCGTTGGAGGCAGTGAACCCCACCCAAACCCGACCATCCCAATTTGTGTTGTCGAAGACCTCGGCCAGATTCAGATTGTCGTAGGTCAGATCCGCTGCAGAGGGCCTCTGGGACCTGTCGCTGATCCTGACCTCCATGCGGTGCGTGGAGCCATTATAATCTACCCAGGCCCGCCGAACCTTGCCGCCACTCAGCAGAAATTCCAACTCCGTGCTCGTTTTCGACACATTGTCATTGACATCGATCCCGATGTGGCTGTCGTTCTTATCGCTGGTCTCGTCGTTGTTCAGCGTGTCGAACTCCACCGCCACCGTTTCGGAGCTTCCCCGGCCTCCATCGATGGCAAAGACACCGAGCGAGGCGGAGTGGAAGGCACGATCGCGGCTCGAGTCGTCCACCGTCCGCGAGACATTCACCCAGGAAATGTTGGACACCAGGGCGAATGTGATCCCGTCGCCCACGCCCGTCTGCGGCAGCCGCTCGGCGTTAACGTAGAACGAGAAGACCGTGCTGAACGAGGCTGATTCGCCGCTCGTCAGATCGACGAGCTGAACGCGGTCGCGGAACACGGCGACTCCCGACGCCTTCTCTTCGTACTCGGGCAGCAGAAGAAGCCGTCCCTGGGCCGAGCTCTCGGCGAATCCCATGCAGGTGACAATCGTGCCGCAGGCAAACTCATTATTCACGACGAAGCTCACATCGGCTATCGTTTCATTCCCGGCGGCATGGCTGCGCCCGAGACAGGCCAGCAGCAGTAGCACAGCGTAGGCGCAGGCTTTGTACATCCTGAAACGAGATCGAGTGCGAGCGACTGTCTAGTACGACGAATATGGCGATGAACCTCACTCAGATTTGTGCTGCATATGACTGACAGGCATCCCAGAAGAGCCTGCAGGCGAGGCTAGGCCCGATCTCCAGCCCCTGTCTCGGTCAAACAAAGGACAAAGCCGTACCCTGCAGCAGAAGCTGGAGGGCTGCCAAGTAGCCGTCGGCTGTATTCTGGAACCTTGGACTGGGTAAGCTCGGCTGCCGTGCTGGTGCCGGTGCAGGTGCATGGAAAGGGGGCGTTCCACGATCGCATCACAGTCACAGTCGCCCCAGTGTCGTCATCCGGCGTTATTCATACGCTTGAGTCTGCTCCTTTCACCCGCTAGTGAACGACTTTGTAATCTTGGAAGGCTGGCTGCTAAGACAGCGGCACGATATGCGATGCACTCCTCCTTCCTTCTGTCGTACCCCACCTTCTGCTTTTCCCAACACCCTCACACATACACGCACGCACCCAGCTCACGCATCTGCATGCCAACTTGTGAGCCTAACGCCTTGCAGGCCAACTACGGATATTAAGTGCATCTGCACACATGGTCCACTGCCTCGCTTCCACAATTTGCTCTCTGGAGCCATACGAGAGTCTCGTTCCGCATACCTTGCATCTTGTGATATATCACTTTGTCTCCAGCGGCTCCTCTAATGTATCTGACATGCATGCACTCTGTGCTCTGTAATGCTCATGTAATACTTCTACGTCCATATATTCATCGGAGGTGTTAACATATGGTCTAGAATGAATCGACAATCAGAATTAGATCTCTCTCTATGGCATGATCTCAATCAATAAACAGTGATTCATCGAGACACTGTACAGTCTTAAGCTTGTTTTACGTTTGAACAATTGGTAATAAATCAAGCCCGAGGGACCCGAAGGGTCAAAAGGCTTAAAAGAACACAAAACAAACATTGCAAACATATTGCAAAGACAAACATGCATTTGCGTAAAGTTAATACTTCTTATTATACAATAATTTATGAAAATTTATATGTCATGTTGTCACAAATCGAGTCAAATCTGTAATTTGACAGCAGTGAAACTACTAAGTGACAGAGTTTTAGTTCCATACTGCAGGGGACGACATGCCTCACTATCATCTGAGCAGAACACTACATGCCAGTACAATCATCTCAGCCTTCAACGTCTTCAGCGAGAAATTCTTAATAATAGTAATGACCTGATTCCGTGTTGTAAGGCGTCTCGTTGAGTCGAGTTCGCTGTAAGCCCGTTCGCTGTCGCTTCACAGCTATATTTGGCTCATCAGTCACACAAACAATCGGATACATTGCTTCAGTTGCGTGTGCCATCCGCACCATAGATGTAGGTGGTGTTCATTCTCCGTTGGATAAGAAGCACGTGGATAATCATTTGACATAACCACTTGAAGCTTCTTTGCAGTCAGTTGCGAGGAATGTATGTCAATCTCTCTGCTAGTATGACGTCCCTCGCTCCTTCTTGCTTTGAGTTGTGTGCAACGATTTGGACCATGCCTGTAGCCTCGGATATACTGTCCTAAATTAATCCTGATTTATTTCCTTCACTGGCCTTGTTTCAAATCCAATTCAAGGCTGAGAGCCAGACGTCTTATGACCAGCATGAAGGCGGGGGGATTGGCTTTGCTTGTATGCAGGGTGGCGAACTCTTCAGGAATCTCGGCATCCAAACTCTGTTCTCTTGGAATCCACCCATCCACGCTCATCAGAGCCAACCAGTGACCAGTTATGCCAAGGTTAATATTGTGACTGATAAGGTGTTGGCGAAATCCTGCGTCCCAAAGCAATCCACATGGGGAAAAGGATCGACTGGGGACCCTAATGAACAGCTCGACAGGCCAATACATCGTGTGGACTATTTGGATCTAGTGGCGGTGGGCAATACACATGGCGGCTGTATGAAGTAAAAAGGTGGTGATGGCCTTACAAGCTAAGGTGGACATGAATCCAAACCTTGGGGAAAAGAGATCAAAAAGAATTTTTCACGTGCACGAGAAGAGATAAAAGTAGGATTGTATAGAGTGGGGATAGTAGAAGGGTTGAATTTGCATTATTATTAATTAGCATAATGCTACAATTAGCATAATAAATTGGAATAAATATTCCTGAAGTTAATACATTTTTCAATATGATTAATTAAAGTTATTTAAAAAATATTTTTGCACTACATAAAATTCATTTATCAATAGATGATTGTTCAATATCAACATACACATGCACAAATTTAACATATTCACAAACAATATATATTTGATTCTATTTTATAAAGATTATATTCATCATATATGCTCTATACATATTGCTTAAATGTTGTTTATAGCCATATGCTCTTGTTGTTGATGTGAAAAAATGAATTCCTTAGCTTATGGGGCACATGAACTAAGTTGAGCTTTAATGTTTATTGATTGAATATTGGAAAATTGTGGAAATTTCAATGTACTCAATATATTAGTTAAAGTGAATTGTCTAATACAAGCCTGAAGTGATATTTATGTTGACATTTTTTGCGTAAGTATAACTTCTTGTGTAATTGATAATGAAGATGCTAAAATATAATTAGATTAGCAAGAGGTTTGAAGCATTCTCATGATACAATATATATCGTCCAACACATTTTGGATCCCAAAATTTCTAGTCGTGACAAAATGCACTTCAAATTAAAAATTGCCATGCATACCTTGACATTGATAAACTGAGGCTCAAATTGTGCTTTCTGTATCTCTCCTCTATTGAAAATGTGAGTTTGTCGCTCTAATCTCAGATTTTATTTCATAAGCAATTTGATTTCCAAAAATTGCATTTGTGTATGATTTGTTGGTGAGTTTTTAAGTTGTAAACTTTCATTTTGAAGAGTTTGTGTGCATTTTAAGAGTTCTATAAAACAAGTCTCTATTTTGTAATATTAGTTGTTGTATGTGTGAAGTAGTATTAGAATTAGCCAAAGAGTTGAACATGCTTAGTTTAGTTTTGACTAAGTCTAGTTATGATGTTTTTGAACTTCGGATTGATTTTCAATTAGGTTGAGATCAAGTGACTTTCAATAGTTCATCATGGTTCTAGAAGGTAAAGATTCTTTACTATGTTCGTGTTTCAAACGATCTTTTTAACAAACTTTTCACTCCTCACTCCAATCAATCACATATCGATACTCAAAATGATAGTTTAACGTAGCATTATGTTGATGAAACAAGTATTTACATAATGAACTCTCACAATTAGATTGAGAATCTCTATTCTATCTCTCTATTTGTATTATTTGAAAAATTATCGTAGTATTAAATGAGAATTATCATCAAACTTACTTTTACCAAGATAAATATAGGTATATTTGACTAATTTTCAACATGTGCCAACATATCATTTGTCTAACCAAACCTTCTAGACGTTTCCTTGTCCTTAGGTTGAGGTGAAAATATGCCATTTGAGACCTTCAAAGTTCTAGAAACTCCACTTGGCATTAAGTCAACTTTAGATTTATTTTAATCAATGTTTTTTTCTTTTTTTTAATCAAACTAATCAAAATTAACATGTATTCAAAATCTTCTCTCCTTTGAATTTAGATTTGAAGACAAAGTACCAATGATCATTGAATTTTCTTAAATGACTCCAATTATTTCACCAAGTATAGAAATCATAATTAAATTTAGTCATAATTAGATAGACTTAGTTATAAATAAGATAACTATGATCAAATTTTTGAATATTCCTATTAATTTTCATACCTACAACAATTGATTTTACAGGCCAATGGAGTTAAAGATGATGATCTGATTTTCTCTTGTTGTTTCTTTGGATAATCAATGTTTGATTTTGTCCGTCTTATGCAAAAATTTTCATGATTTTTTCACAATTGTTTATCTTGTGATGAATTCCATATAACTTTGAACTTTATTCATTTATTTTTGCATTGAAAATGAAAATCAGTCAGTGTATTCTACGAATGTTCATCAAAAATATATACATATGAATGAGTTGTGACTAAGAGTAGTCAATAAAAGAGATTTTTGAGCCAATCAAAAATTTGAAATTGTAATAATAAACGTCAAATTCAAGAAATTGTGAGTCTCTTATAAAATTCTAAATTAGTGTTGGAAGTAACAATAGTCTAGAATTTTTTTCAACTCGATTGGAGCGGACTTTAAATCATCACGTATTTCAGATAAGTCAAAACATAAAAAAAAATTACCATTATAAGATTATTTACAATGAATTTACATGTTAGATAACTCTACAATGCAAACATGCAACAATCTAAAATGCAAATAAGTTGAAATCGTGCAAATCTTACTATTTAGATTGATTTGCAAAAACTCAATAAATCTTTTTCCTCATGATGATTCAAAATTGCTAAAATTTTAAAACTCTAACATCAATCGATTCATCTATGTTCTCATATTAAGATTTATAGCAAACTTTAATTATAGAGATGTGCACTAGAGAAAAATATTTTTAACAATAGATCTATACTTGCAACGATAACATCTTTGTATATGATGTTGTCTACTTGATGTTATAACGCATCGTCACCAAGCTGTGCGAGTTCAATTTAATGATATGAATTGTGATTTTGACGTGCAGATCAATTGGTCTTAGATCTAATTGCAACAAACATCAATTCTAATTTCTTAACTTTGGCTTTGGTGTGTAGATCAATTGCTCTTGGATTTAGCTATGATTTACATTGAAGATGAGGAATGTAAATGAAAAGCGTGATATTTAATTATTGTATAATTTTACCGTGGAGCAAAACATTTAATTGTCACATGCGGTCTTGATTTTCATATGTGATGATGATGCATAATAACAATATGATCAAAGTGCATATCAAGTACTGTAAATCATAATGTGATGACATACATTAAAAAATTGACATTGTATAGATAATCTTCAAACAAACTATTGTAATTTTTTGTATTATTAAGATTTCTAAAAATCCATTTAAAAATATTTTAATGCACTTCATTTGCATATGACTTGTAATGCTTAACATGCCCATGTCTAAGACAAAATTAGTATTAATACATGTCATCAAATATATAATGTTGCTTATTGCTTTCTTATACAATCTCAATGATAATTCTCTCATCTTAGTATAATCAAGTACACATCAAATGACATGTAGCTTGAAATGTGTTGTCTCATAAAAATATTTTTTAATCTATCATATTATTAATATTATTTATTATTATAATTAAAATTACTTAACTTTATTTGGTCATAGATGTGTTTATCTTCAAATACATATGAACATTCATGTTTAGTATGTGATTAAATCTGTTCATATTTTTTATCTTGAATGCAAATATCAATTGATTCTTGCATGTCTCAATGTTAGATTACTCTTTTTCTAAAATAAACATATCATACGCAAAAAATATTAGAATAATGAAAATAAAAGTTTCAAATTTCAATTATTTAAAATATGCATATGAATCATACACACTTCGTACAAATCTTTTTGCTTTTATGAAATCTTCAAAGTTCATTGTGTTTTGACTTTGAATTTACTTCATTAATTAAACAAATTTTTTCGAACAAAAATAAACAAACTTCTTGTGATATTTTTCTCTAAAATCAACTTATTATTATATGTAGATGTTTTTTCAAATAATTTATATGATTATCACGACATACATCTATTTCATAAACAAGTTAAATACAATAGCAAATGCATG